GATAATCGGGATATGAACCGGCTGAGAGCCGCAATTCGGCCGGTTAGAACTTGCACTTCCCTGCGGGTTTTCGGCTCCTGGTTCTGTATGAGTGCCTTTGCCTGAGCTGGGCTTACTTCTATTCCTCTTTTATTTACGACGTACCCAAGGAACTGTCCTGACGAGACGGCGAAGGAGCACTTGGTGGGGTTCAGCTTCATATTGTATCTCTTGAGAGTATCAAAGACCTCCTGGAGGTGCTTCGGGTGGTCATCTTTCCGTATACTTTTGACCACCATATCATCGATATAGGCTTCAACTGTATTTCCCAGCAGGTTATTGAAAATTTTATTGACAAGTCGCTGGTAGGTGGCTCTGGCATTCTTTAGATCGAAGGGCATCACTCTGTAGTAGTAAGTGCCCGTTTCTGTGATGAAAGCGGTTTTCTCCTCATCTTCAGGATTCATGGGAATCTGATTATAGCAGGAATATGCATCGAGGAATGTGAGCATTTCATAACCCGTCGTAGCATCCACCATTTGATCAATCTTGGGCAGAGGAAAGCTATCTTTTGGGCAAGCTTTGTTAAGGTTGGTATAATCTACGCATACCCTCCATTTCCCATTCTTCTTTTGAACGACTACTACATTTGAGAGCCATTGTGGGTATTGCACCTCTCGAATGAATCCTGCTTGTAATAGTTTATTTACTTCCTCGGCTATTATGCGATTCCGTTCTGGTGCGAACCGTCGGTGCCTCTGCTTGACTGGCCTGAACTCTGGGTTAACCCTCAGACTATGGCATGAGACTGTAGGATCGATCCCCACCATGTCCGAGTGATCCTAGGCAAAGACATCCGAATTGCACCGAATGACCCTGATCAATGCTTCCTTCTCTTCGGCTGTGCAAGATGAGCCAATGTAGGTGATCTTCTGAGGGTCTCCGAGGACTACCTCTATAGCTTCGAGGGACTCCTCGGTAGGTGCTTCAGCTTCGGCTTCTTCCTCTGCCTTGAGATACTTGGGCAGAAGATACTGTAACTGCTATTTGATTGCGTCTTTGGGATTCGCCTCTGACTGAGGTGATTTCGACGCTTTCTTTGCTTCATGTAGCGTTAGCATGTAACATTCTTTTACAGCAACCTGGTCTCCCCAGAGGTCGATGACCTCCCTGCCATCCGGGGATAAACACCTCATTACTTGATGATGTATAGAGGGGACTCCGTTCATACGATGGATCCAACCTCTCCCCATAATGAGGTTATAAGATGGATGAATCTCTGTCACGACGAAGTTTTCCTTCAGAGTCCTCTTTGCTGCAGTAACGGATAGATCGATCACCCCAAGCGGATTCACCTTAGTACCATCAAATCCCATTAGGGGGCTGGAAGTTGGCCTGATGGACGATGGTGAAACCCTCAACTGATCAAAAGCTATTTTTGTAATGATGTTGGCGTTACTTCCCGGATCTATCAGCACTCTCCTGATCATATAATTCGCTACCAGGAGGCTGATGACCAAGGGGTCCTCATGCGGGCGCTGGACTCTAGAAAGATCATTGTTACCGAATCCAATGTTGATGTTGCCTGGTGCAACCGTGTTTACCGAAGACAATCTTCGTAACTTATGAGCCTCTCTCAGCCTGGATCTGTACAACTCTTCAGACTTTTCATCATCCTCTGACCTTCCGTGTATAGCATGGATAACCTTTACCTGACCGCCCTCTACCCGTCGAGGGTTAACCTCCCGAGGTTTTACGTGCTCCTTCGTGGCGAGATACTCCACCAATTCTCCTCTCGCTATCATGCTTTCTACCTGTCGCTGTAGGGACCTGCAGTCATTGGTGGTATGCCCATAATCTCTATGGTAGGCACAATGTTTGCTTTTGTCCCTCTGCTCCAAGGGTTATTTCATGGGCTGAGGAGTCGCGAACCTCGTCTTATTCTCTTGGAATAGGCGCGCCAAGGTAGTACGGAGAGGGGTAAGCCTGTCCTCTATCCTTCGCTTTTTCTCAGACGCTTGGGTGACTTGTGTGGCGGTATGAGGAACCTTCTGCATCCTTGTGCTCACAGCTTTCTCTCGAGACTTGTTTTCCACTGTGACGAGGGTAGCGTGCTGTGCACGGTGGGCTACGTTTTCCTCCAACCGAATGTAGATTTGTGCCCTAGTGTTCAAAGTCTGCATATCGGGGGAGGGGGGGGAATATTTGACTAAGGATGTGTGAAACTTGGTTCCCTGGATCATTGCCAACTTAAATGTTTCGATTGCCGTGGCAGGGTGGCAATCTGCTATCTCCGAGGCCTCCATGTTAAACCTGGATAAAAAATCTTGCAGAGTTTCTCCCTTCCTTTGCCTTATGGTGAAAAGGCTGGCGATACTTTTCTTCTGCTTCTTATTTCCACAATACTGGGCTAAGAACATAGTGCACAAGGTCTCATAGTCAGGGATAGACTTGTGTGGCCTATTCCTGAACCATTCTAACGCTGCTCCGGTTAAACTGGTAGGAAAAACCTTACACATCCACGGATTGTTATGATCGTCCAGTGCCATCTTTTGCGCATAATGATCGAGATGCCGAGAGGGGTCTCCTGCCCCATCAAACTGGGTGAAGGATGGCATAGTGAACTTCTTCGGCCTCTCCACAAGGTACACCTCGTCAGTAAAGGGGGTCTTGACCAAGGAGTTTTTGTGCTCTCTAGCTATCTCGGCTGGTGTCTGGACTCTCAAGAGCTTCTTTTCGTCAAAGGCATCTTGTACGCGTGCGCCATCTGGAACGCCATTGGACCATACTGTAAGCCTATGGCTGGACTCGGCCTGTTCGTCCTGTGTGCGATGCGAGAGATTATCCGAAGCAACCGCCTCGGACCTCGTCCCTTGCTTTTGCTGAACCTCACTAGGTCGAGCCCCGTTGGGTGGTGTCTCGTTGGCTGGAGGCTCGTGAACCGGAGGTAAATTCCGGGTGGGGGGTGGTGCCGCAGCATCGCCTGGTGGTGGTTGTGGCGTTAGCCTGGCCATGGCCGTGTGCAGCGTATAAGTCTGCTGCTGAAGCGCAGCTATCTGGGCGACACTCGTATCGTTTGCTTGCCGGAGTGTCTCAAATTGGTGCAAGAACTCTTCTCGCATCTTTTGCATCAATTCTATCTGTTGATTCATTGCTGACTCTCTGTTTGACATTCCAGACACGACTAAAGGATTTAATTTGAAGAACAAGTGGGAGTATATTTTTATACGATTCCCACAGACAGCGCCAAAGTGTAGGTGCAAAATTTCGCTCAACCAATAATGATTGAAAAAAATAAAACAACTCACTCAAAAACAATAAAAATAAATAAGAACAGTGTATAGAGAAGCGTAGAATTGCTTGATCCTTTATTGGAGGTCTTAGCCTCTATTTATATACAAAAGATTGCAAAATTATGGTAGGACTCGCGTTGCTTACCCTCCAATTCTTTCTATATAACCATTCTTTTCTAATAGAGTTCTTTCCATTGTCGAATTTTCCATACATAGAACTTGCCTTGTACAGAACTTCCTATCAGAATTTTCCTTCTACAGTAAATCCTTCAAATGGTAGGACTTGTGCATTCTTGGGCTGAATATATTTTGATCCGACTGGGCTTGAGTAACAGGCCGGATGTTAAATACTCATAAGCTGGGCTGATGACTTCTTGATTCGGCCTTGATGGAAGTTGGAGGACAAATAACAATAGTCTTGGGCTGTAAATACCCTCAACTTGGGCTTGAGCATGATGGGCCTTATATGTCCTTGGAATGTAGATATGGGTAGTGGTGACGTGTGCGCTTTTTATTGGAGGGAGTTTTTTTCCCTCCACAGTGACCTTGTGGGCATGTACAAGACCCTAACATGCTACCATGTTACAAATGCATCAATGCACAATTACACTGCGTGAGTAAGGTTGGTGTCATAATAAGATATGTGGTATAAAAATAGAGGATCTATTCTGGTAATTTTTTTTTTTTTTTAATCCAAAAAATTATTTGGATATTGTGTAATGCCTACTCTCAAACTCTTTATTTACACAATAGTGATATTCTTTGTTTCTCTTTTCATTTTTGAATTCCTATCTAATGATTCGTAATCCTGGAAGTGAAGAATAAAATAAAAGGACTTTTTGTTTTCCTTACTTTATTATTTTTTTTTTCCCAAAAAATGACTTGGAGATTGTGTAATGCTTACTCTCAAACTCTTTATTCATACAATAGTGATATTCTTTGTTTCTCTTTTCATTTTTGGATTCCTATCTAATGATTCTGGACATAATCCTGAATGTGAAAGAATAAAATAAAAATGCCTTTATCGTTTTCCCTACTTAATTTTTCAAATTTCATAGGAATTTTATCTATTCCACGCTTAACCAAGGGTTGGGGAAATTGGACGGTGAAAGTGATGTACTTATATGTACTAAGGGTTGGAGAAATTGGACTGTGAAAGTGATGTACTTACTTGTACTAATGATATCTCAAAATGGTAGGAGGTCTTTTGAGTTAAAACTAAACTAAAGAATAAAAACTGTGCTAGCTAAGCTTAAAACTGACAATATAATACCATGTGGTGGAGTGAGTTGTTACAAATTAGTATTGGAATCGAAACTCGGTCTAAAGTGCGGCCAACAAGGACGTAGGGCCTATAAGAGGGGTAATTGTAGAGACCACTGTTGGCAAGTGTAAGAGACTGACATTTTAGAGGCTCCAAACCCAACTGAAATTGTGGTCAACAAAAACATTAGAGAGCACATTGGGTCCCTGAGAGGGTAATTGTGAACAAACATTTGTGAGTGGGTAAAAGACACTGGCATGCTGAGTGCTGGAACTAGAATGTGACCAGCGACGACATTGGAGGCATGCATGGGCGGATTGGAACTTTTATTTAATTTTTTTTTATTTGCTAATTATTATTATTATCCGTTTCCTAAGAAAAAAAAATTGAAATTCAAAACTAGTCTTGGGTCAAACAGATTTAATTCAAGCCAAAAGGGTAATATAGAAAATTTAAGCATAAAACGTGAAGAGAAATACGAAGACAAAGCGAATATCGAAGCTTTGTTGCTCTTGTTTGCAGGTGAGAACTCGAAAGAGGAAAACACGAGAAAGAGCGACCCTCACTCAGTCTACTCCTTCAACCATCTCGTACACAGCTATTCTTCACTCTTTCATGCACAGAGTACGATCCTTCTTTACATTTATTGCTTTATTTTTTTTCCAACAAATTTATATTCGTTTTTCAATCTGTACGCTGTGTCATTCGTTATTGATCTGGGTCTTCCTACCATTTATGGTAATTCCCAAACCTTGATAACAACTGGGTTTTTGTAAATTGAAATGGTTTAGTTACACAAAGATCGTGCGTGATCTCCTTTCGTGCTATTGGGTTGAGATCTTGAACGTATTTTGGTTGCTAGATTTGATTTGATTCTTCTTTTTTATCTATTTTTGAAATTTGATTGTGGTCTGCATTTTTTGTTTGTTTAGCATCAATGAATTGACAACTAGATTTTTATGTGTGATTAGTTGTTCTGAAAGATCATCTGAAACACATCTGATTATAAAGCCATTGATTGGGAAGTGAATAGATGTTATTTGGTTGAATTGTCAAGCTCATGGAGGCAACAAAATTGGTTTTGATGGCAAATAGATCGCACTGCCCCATTGTGAAATATGCAAATTCTGTAGTTTTATCAGGAAGAACTAAGAAGTAGGATGCAGATGTATAATTTTGTTGTTTAATAGAATCCTATTTTCTGTTTTAGTAATAATGATTCAAGCTGATAAGATGATACCCAATAAAGTATGGCGCACCCTGCAGTGTTGCCTTACCAGACTACTAGAAGATGTGGCTTTAGAAGACGGACAGGAGAACATTTTGTTTTGCCAGTTCCTTACAGTTGGGATGGATTTCAATGGTGATGATATTTTGATGATAATCATGAGTTTCATAGCCCAAATTAGTTTATAAACGCATTGATTATGTTGTGTAGTAGATGCAAGTCAGTAAGTGTTCTTATTTGGCAGATTCTTTGCCACCCCGTGATGTTAGTATGTACTTTTTAGTACCATCCTTATATATGTTACTTCTCTAATTCAGTTTTGATGACAAAATATCTTCAAGCAAAAAATTTGTGTCATGTATCATGGCATAATCATCCTTTTAAAAATCTGAAGTCAGAGATCAAGAAAGATGTTGCCACAAATTGAACTGGTGCCGAAGTTTTGATCTATGTATGTGGTTGTACCATATTACCATGCTTATATATCTTAATTAAACTAAGGGTAGAAAATTAGAAAAGGTAACAGGATCTATACATAGGCAACTAAATCGTAGCAGCAAGGAAAGGTCATAATTATCATATGAGGTGTAGTTTGATGCTGGTTGCATTATGCCATTTCATGATGAAAGCAGTGCACTGTATAGTATAGTCGTTGCATACTTTTTGTGTTAATATATGAATGTAGTTCTGGCAATATAAATGTCTCCCTTAATGTGCTGCAGTTGGGGAGTGTTTTGAAGTTAATAAATCTGCTTTTACCATCATCAGTAAGTGTTTATTGTCCTTACCAATTGCTTGTAACAACTTATATCAGTGTTGAAATATTCAATTGAAATAAATGAGTGAATTTTGAAGCACTTCAACTTCAATTACAACTCATCATGGATTTCGTTTACTCTTTTGGTCGGAGTGCATCTAAAAGAATACATTAGTCAGTTGTGAAATGGGATGATAGAGTGGATTTCAACGAGACTGAACCTTGAAAATTATAGTGGTGTTGTGTTATAAAAATTAAAGTATTTGATTTCAAACTTAATTGCAGTCTTTGTTTCTTTTTCCTTTTTTTTCCCTTCGCAATGTCCATGTCATCTTTTAGCTTTGAAATTTTGATCACTCATTTGTGTGTTTCAGGATTTTAACACCATGAGCGCAAGAGAGATAAGGTTAGAAATATGAGGCCTTTCTCTTTTTCCTTTTGAAGGTTACAGAGGACAAATAATAGAAAAGACAAAACAATACAAAGATGTTTTCATTGTTTTATGGACTTTGGAAATACATCTTTAGTAAGACGGAGCTTCATGTTCTTATTCTTGGCATCGACAAGGCTGGGAAAACGGTAATGCTTTCATTAATCGTCTTTTTAATTATTTCATTTTTTGAGGTAGTTTCTGAGGTTTTATCACTGACTCTATTTCATACTGAATTCATTTCAGTTCATTTCATGATCTGCGATCTGCTTGTGCCTATATATCTATCTCCTTCTGTTACACTGTTAGAAACGTTGATTTTAATATTGATTCCAAAATTCATTGATATAACTATAACATACGTTGAACCATAGCCCATCTATTGGTCCTTTAATTTAACCAACTCAATGAACTCATTTCTTTTTTTTTTTAAAATCTTAATCTTCACCATGGTTTCCTAATAATTCTTATTAAATTACTCGTGTATCGCTCTTTTATTGGCAAGAAGAAGGCAAAGTTGCTAATAACTTATTTGTTATTGTGGCGCATTTGATGGATGAAAGTTGGGAGGGATGGACTTGCTAGTCATCACTCACTCATTGACACCACTCTTCCTTTTGCAATTATACTTCATTATGTTGTACCTTATGCTTCAGTGAAATGTTTTAAGGAATGTTTGATGCCTTCCAATTAATCAGGGTTGGTAAGGAGAAAGAGTGACCTTCTAATTTCCAAACACGTTTAACTTCACTGATGATGATCATGGCAATCACGTTTTTTTTGGGAGCATCTGATCTTTCTGAGACAGTAGGTTTGTGACGTTAAGATTACATACCTTCATTTAATATTTCAAATCCACTGAAGTAGGTAGCGCTTGTGAGGGTGGCTAAATCAAACTAAATAGAACGAAAATACCTGCTACTCTTCTAGTTACTTGATCAATGTTAGTATACAAGAATCTCTGTGATCACCTTGAACAATACAAGAATCTCTGAGATCTATGTGCCAAAAGCCAAGGGCTTGATCAGTTCAAGAAAGGAAACGATATACTAAATTCCAAATGTACTGTATGAATCTTGGTGAGAAATAGCTGATTAAATGCCTTTTTCTAGTCTCAATTCATGATGTATTGAGATGCAAAATTCAATGACACATTGATTTAGGAACCTTTCTATTAATGTGTTTCTCATAGACAATATGAAAATATCAACTTAAGTACAGTTTTAGGTACTCAAAAAATATGTCCACCAAGTAGTAGTAGTAGGTGAATGTATTTTTAAAATTCAAATTCACTGGGCATGTCAATGACGAGAGCTATGTTTTTTTTTTCCTTCTCTTTCTATTTTTATGATAGGTAAATATATCATAGAAAGGCGCTCAAAATGACAAGAGCTATGTTAAGTGAAACCATATAATCTTTAATGATATATGAGAGGTTCTGGTTTGGTCTGCTTTGGTGGTTATGACCACACTCAGGACCACGAGACAAATTTTGGTCAGTGGAGAATTGAAGTTGATAGTGGGGAATAACCATCGACTACACCTTTAGGCCTAATCTTAGGCCTTGATTCACCCTCCGTAGACGAACCTTGTGGAGGAACCCTTAGGTTTTTAGGGCACTGGATTCTCAAGCCGACATTCTCACTTCCGCTTCGTCCACCGCTGCTCGCGCAGGTGCTTCCCTGTAGGCGGAACGCTCCCCTACTGATGTATTTTTACATCCCACAGCTTCGGCAGATCGCTTAGCCGTGTTCATCTTCGGCTCAAGAGCGCTCGATCAGTGAGCTATTACGCACTCTTTCAGGGGTGGCTGCTTCTAGGCAAGCCTCCTGGCTGTCTCTGAATGGAGAGGAGGGATAGATTACTTGTATGGAGCACACATGTAGCACATCAACTCTTGTAGTTACCTGTTGAAAGATATACATTTCTTCAACTTGAAAAAGATATTTTGCGTAGTTGATAAATATTGTATAACATGGCTTTATACTTTTTCATAATTATTCCATGGCTGCATCATTTGGTTTGGAGAAGGTTGAATTTGACGTTTGGTGATTTGTTTGCTTCTTTAACAAGTTACTGCAACAAGAAAAAATATGTTGAACAGTTGAAGTGAAATCTTATAGAAAAAACTTGTGGATGTGTTCGATGGTCACAATCTTGTGAATCCTTCTCATGAATCCAAACATTTACAAATGATAATTATTATTCTTTGTGGGAGTCAACTTCTTGTGATTGTATAGAGGACCAACGGGAAATTAACACTGTTCGGTGTAGGTCTTCACCATCAACTATCAAGTGGAAACCTAACACATTTAGAGTTTTATGTAAGCAGCATAGATATTCCATTTTGGTCAGTTCCATTGAAGAGATGAAGCTTGTTGTTAACACCCTTGGTCAGGTTTGTTAAGAAGCTAAGGCCAAGTTTGCACATGCTTTGTTTTGTTTTGTTACAAAACATGGAAATGGCAACAAAAATATGTTTGGATACACCTTTTTGTTTTGTTTTGGTCCAAAACAACCCAAAACACATTCAAAACACATAGGCTAAAACTAAGTAAAAAAAAAGAAGATGTTTTCTGGTGTTTTTAGGCACACCTCCAAAACACGGAGCGAGGTTTGTTTGCGGTTACTGTACACTTAAAGAGTGGCGGTATATAAACCTTTTATCCGTCAAATTCACCTCGCATATTTTGTTTTCGGCAACCCTCTCTCTCTCTACGTCCAACGACAAAGGTGACGGATTGGAGGAGCTTGTGCCGGTGACTTTCTAAAGACCTTCTGGAGCCCAACGGACGGTCTCTCTGGTGAACTTCCACCACAGAGTAAGATATTTCTCACATAGAATCGTTGGATCTACGATCTCTATGGCGAGGAGGCCCTCAAGTTCGGTCAGGTCCCACTGCCACCCACCTCCGCCGGAATGAGTCTCAAGAATGGGTATTTTAGGACCTTGAATGGGGAATTCAGTGATTCACCATCTGTGGCAGCACAGACGAAGGCCCTGCTGTGGAGATTTTGTAGTCGTGTAGTGTCGAGGAGCTCTATAAAGGGGCGATTAATAAAATGAAGATTTCGTTGTGGATGACTGGTTATAATTGGACGACTTTTCTTGAGTTGTTTCATTTTAAAATTTTTTATTTATTTTTGTTTGATAATGGGTTCATTCTTGTAGATTGTAATGCAATTATGAACTTTTTTTTATTGCAATTTCTGTGATTCAATGTGAAATGAATTAATTAACAGTAATATTGATAAGTAGAATTACAATGAGTCAGTAGAATATTTAACTTGATGTCTTTGATAAAATGGTGAACTATTCAAGTATATTCTACTAAGGTAATGTATAGCTAACCAAATGGGGGCTTTTCAGTTTTTCCTTAGAATTTTTCCTAAAATTATTATTGGTACTTTTTCTTAATTCCTTTTCTTTAATAAAATTGAGAACATTTTTGGAGCATACCATTTTTGAGTCAAAAATCACTAAAGAAAATTTTGTGCTCAATATTTATAGAACGCCAAACCTATTTTGTTTTGTTTTGTATTGTTATTTTGTGCAACATTTGTACATCGTCAAACATTTTTTTTTTTTTTCTCGATAGCAAATCAACACAACACGTTTTTCTCAAACAATTTTATGAAAACAACTCCGCCACCAAACAAGGCCTAAGCTTAACTGTAGACATACCAAGCTCAATTTGAGTATCAAGCTCAAATGCTTAAGAACAGAAATTTGTGAAACACCAGGCTAGGCTCATTCAGCTCATAAATAATTGAGATAGGTATCATGCCATTGTGACAACACAATCCCATTCCTAAAGAGAACATGTAAAAAGAAATGTTGGAAGTAATCTAATTCGTGTGAGGTATGATGGAAAATCTATTAAGCTTCTGGAGTGTGTTGTAATATTTAAAGGCAAAGGGAGCATAGTTAGTACGCCAATCACTACTACTGCCACCATGACCTAGGACACTATGCTTTTTTCTGCATGCCAATGCCACAGGACAACTACCATTGCCACACCCCACCCCCACCTCAAGTTGTACGATCACTTATATTTGTTTTGGGCAAACATATGGCATTTATCCCTGTAGCTTGTATTATTTGTGTGATAGAGTAATAACTAATAGACATTAAATTATAAACATATTATATCATTTCATCATATTTTCTGAACTGTGAAGTTGCTTATACTCAGAAGTGATAGAAAGCTTGCTTTCATCACTAATTAATAACCACTGTTCAGTTGTCCTGGTGGCATTGGATACATGGGAGTTGGGATTGCCCCTGGTATAGTTGGTTATATGTAATGGATATTGTGCATACTTAAAAAGGAATTGTAGAACTAATGTCTGGTTTGTGTTAAAGAAACACTTTTCCTGGTTTAATCCAATGTTATAAATTCGTTTTGTATATTAGTAGTGTTTCTATGGACTACAATTTCTCTCAGCTTTAGTATTGTTTCTATTGACTACAATTTCCCCCCAAGCATATATTTGGGTTCCACCTATATTATAAACACAAATGCACATATGTACACATACATTGTGCATATGACAATGTTGGAGACATCTTCAGAAAGTCTTATCTATACTCATTTTTGTATCTATAAATTTGTAGAGTCTGCTGGAGAAGTTGAAGGCACAATACTTAAACTTGGAGGGCCTATCTCCCGATAGAATTGTTCCAACTGTGGGACTCAATATTGGTCGTATTGAAGTGTCAAATACGAAGCTTGTGTTCTGGGACCTTGGAGGCCAGGTTTGTGAACTGCACCTACAACTGGTGATTGAATTGATAGTTATATGGGTTGATATTCTCCTTTTACTTTGATGAATTTTCTAATGCTGTGCTCTTGCCTGTTTTAACAGTTCTGAGAGTTGTAAGAGCATTATCTGATTCCGTCTGTCTTTTGTCCCCCTTTTTTTTTAAACTTGTATATACTAATTTATTAGAGAAAAGATAATATTTAAATATTTGACCTAAGAGAGATTGTTTGATAATATAAATATAATATTAACATGTGATAGATGCCATTAGTTGTACTGGTTCTACGAATGGAGGGTGCTAGGAGGCTAAGAAGAGTAGACTATATGCTTACCTGGTTTCTGGGATTATTTTCACTATGACTTGGTAGCCCAGGCTGGGAGGGAGGGAGGGACTCAGATATTTACAATTATTTTTGGTGGCTCCAGTTTGGACTTCCTGAATGTGATCCCTCTGTTTAGCAGATCTTATCTGAATCCTTCTGTTTTTCCTTTATCATACTGAACTTATGTGCTTAAGTGCGACATTAGGTACTATTCACCTGAGAGTTTAGAAGTTAAGAAGGGGAGGCAATTGCTGTCAATTAGTACATGGGAATTCAAGTGCTCATGTTGTGTAGCTAAATTTTGCTAACATGAAAAGAGGGGATAGGATCAATTACATGAGTGGTCAATAGATCTTCTAGAAATTCCATTTATTTTGATCTATCAATCAAGGCTGGGGAACGCTGGTTATTCATCCCCATTCATAACACACTTTGGCATTACTCAAAATGTGCTTTCCCGTTGCTGAAAAAATAATTGCTGAATAGATTAATCTGAAGTACCTTTCAGTTTTCTGATTAAAACTCTTTTAACGTAACTATGGAAATGGTCTTTCATGTAGTATCAATTCTTTACTCTGGGCTGCATAAGCTCTCTTTACCATTTAAGTGTTAAAAAGTTTGCAAGTCAAAAAGAGGATTCAGCTATATTCGAGCTGCCAGATTTGACTTTTGAGGTGCTTGAATACCCAAGGAAAAACCATAATATCAAATACAAGCTCATTCATCAGTCATGTCACTCATGTTTAATATGTTCTGAAATAGTCTTACGAAGTTGTCACTAATTCAAGATCTATATTCTGTCAGCCTGGCCTTCGTTCAATTTGGGAGAAATACTATGAAGAGGCACATGCTGTAATATATGTAGTTGATGCTGCCAGCCCATCGCGCTTTGAAGATTCAAAATCTGCCCTTGGTAAGTCATGTTTCAATCATTTGAATTTGTGGAATAGATAACAATATCATGATGCCCAATGTTATTATTGGTGAAGAGTTTTGAATTTATATTAGAATGTTTCACTAACACTACCAATTTGTTGTCAGAAAAGGTTCTTCGGCATGAGGATCTGCAAGGAGCCCCTCTTTTGATATTGGCAAACAAGCAGGTGAGTAAAGGTGTTACTTCTTTTACTCAGGAGAGAGGAGAGGGCACCTCGATCAGATCAGCAACCAAATCATAAATGAAACATATTGTTTATGTTCAGAGAGTTATAATAGTTTCCCCCTTTTGGCTGTTGAAAAGTTATTTCTTTCACAGATGCATCAGCTTTGTGCATTTTCTTGGTAGACCTATCTCTCTCTCCATCATTTTCTATGAAAAATGGTTATTATGGGACTTTGGAGTGTCTCCATTTCAAGCTGACTTGGAAATGGGATTGAGTTACTCAATGTGACCCATAACTAAATTAATGGGATAGAAAGTTCTGAAATTTGGACACCCCAATCTTTAACTACTGTATTATGCAGTCTCATTTTCGTATTGAATTTTAAGTATACATCTTTCTTATTTTTCCTCGTTCTTTTGAATTTTAAGTGTATATCTTTTGAATCACTTCATTATTGTTTATCACTTTGATGGCAGGATCTTGCTGAGGCTGTCTCAGCTGAAGAACTCGCTCGGTACCTAGATCTTAAAAAGTTGGATGAAAGGGTTTACACATTTGAAGCTGTTTCGTCATATGACGGGTGAGTTGAAAGCTTATGAATTTCAACCCTTGCCAAGAAAATGAAGATACAGAGAAGTAAATTTGGAATCCTACAGCCATTTAGATTGAATTGGTTTTTGTAAGATCCAGATTTTCTTCTTCTTCTTCTTCTTTTTCTTCTTCATAAATGGACTTATTATGCGAACACAAAAACATTATAGTTTGGAATTGCTTGCAGGATGGGAATTAAAGAAAGTGTAGAATGGCTTGTGGAGGTTATGCATAGAAGTAAAAGAACTGAAATGTTGAGAGTTCGTGCGGGTTTAATGAACCCTGGTTCAGCTTAGAAGAGATTATATCAATTTACATTTTATTGTGCACCACATTTGCTTGTAACTTTTGTAAGTAAATCAGGGTTCAACTGTGATCCTACGCAATGTAACTTTGATCAATTGATTACATCTTCAGCCAAGTAATTTTGAGAAATTTATTTGAATAATAATTACATATTAGTCACTTGAAAAAGAAGATTTGGTAATATTTACAGTAGTGGTGCAATAATAGAATGAAGAAAAGTGTAAATGGAGAGCCTAGCTCCTCCACTAGAGAGAATTTGTTTCTTGAAGGGTGCTTATTATGATCTTTTAATGCGGAGGAGGAATGTATCTCGGCTTTCTTTTGGCGGTTGTTGCTTGAATTGGTACACCCCCTCCTCCGTGTTTGTGGAAAGATCGGGAGGATAGAAATGAATTCTTGTTCATATGGGATCATAGTTTTCCTCTTCTGCTAAACACTACAGGGCAAAGATTGAAGATTTAGCATGGAAATCCAGAAATAACTGTGACATATGGTTATTATGAAAAATAAAGAACCAATACATATTTTTGTGAAGTCAATCCGATCTGAGCTTAGCAGCCTTGGCCCATTTCTCAGGTAGGTTGTTTGGGAAATGCTGCAGTTTTGCATACAACATTGACACTGAGCATATGAAATTAGTGGCCATTGTTTTGGACAAGTGATTTTACCAGATTTTATTGTAAAATTCTATCCGTATATATAACCTCTACTTTTGAAAATGGAGGTTGAGGGTTCAAGATTTTCAAAGGAGCATAGTGGGTGTTACGTCATTTGCAAACCCCATCAACCTTCTAAGAGAGGATTAGTAGATGAATTCATGGCATCATAAACTGTATGTCAAGTCATTCTTGCATATTTTACGCACCTCTCTTTATCTGTATTATAAAAACAGGTTTAGTAAGGGGGTGTACTTGAACAAAACTGAAACTGTATTGTAATTGTCACAAAGTACATGAAGCCGTGACCACTATTTTTGCATTTGAAGTGGGGAAAGACTCAAAAGAGTAAAAAACTTAACCGGTGTTCACAAGAACCTTCACGAAATGCTCGACTATTATTTCAAATCAGATGGCCAAAGTACTATGGTCCATTTGGCTACTTAGGAAAATGAAAATCAAACCAGAATGACTTTACTGGTATTTCTCTGTTTTCTGCCACAGTGAACCACCAGACTACGGCAATTAGTTAGGTACGTTGGGCATTCTTCAAATCATTTAACAAGAAATGGTTGAAAGAAGCATGTTTGTGTATTCAAAACACAATTAGTAACTAACAAAAAAATAAAATAAAATAAAATAAAATACAGGAAACAAGAATAGAGCCTTCAACAATGCAGAGGTCCAAACTGCCACTTGCAATAATCTTTAATGATATGTACAAAACCTGAAATTTCAAGCTCCCGTGTACATCATTCAGACAATAAAGAAGTAGCAGTTACTTTTGGCAAATATCACAGAAACAAAGGTGACTAGAACACAACAATGGAATCCAAGTTTGCTGGCTAAGAATTCAACTCCAACACTCAGAAAGCCCCAAAGTTGAGTTTCATCCTATTTGATTGGGAAAAATGGAGCCTGGCACGCTGACTCTCTCCTTCATTATTGGTTGTGGTCCTGCAAAGAGAGGAAAAAAAGAAAGAAGAGAGTACATGTTTACAAGTTTATTTCCATCGGGAAAGGCATAGATCGATGAGGATGAATACGATCTTCAACACCAACAAAATGAAAAGCTACGGGCAATGAAAAGATTAGACTATGACAAATAAAGATTATAATCTTTATACTAACAATAGCAAAAATTACAGAATTAAGACGGAATCATATGAATGAGAAAGAACAGTTACAATAAATTCTTCAATTTTGAATTTACTTTGTAAAAATTCTGTTCTCCATAGGCAAGGCAGGTGCGGCGAACTAGAGCAATAAAAGAAATTACATCTTTCATAACCAAAATTAAAGCTTCAGACTTCATTTTTATTTTTGTTTATTTAATATTCAAGTTGCATGGCTTCACTGAAAGCAGCAGATTCACAAAGTAGTAAATCCCGTAAGCTCCTCTTTGGGGCAGATTCTGAAAACAAAGAAAGGTGGTGACTCCCTCTACAGACAGTATCTCCAAAACTACTAACTGGTTATATTACCATTTTTATTTTTTTATTATTATTTTTACAAAAAAGGACTAACTGGATGCATCTCCTCTGTTCATGCGGAGTTGTGCTCCAATTATTGACAAGGCAGTGGTGATCCATGATTTTTGTTTACCAACAAAAGTAGGGAAAAGAAAAAGAATAGCTTTCCACAATACATTTCACATCCTTTTCAATAAAATTGACAATAATAATAATAATAATAATAATAAAAACATATACAAATTTCTTATGATTTCCCCTATAAGTCAAAAGCATTGCATGACAGCCACATTTAAATGCTATTAAGCAACATTGTCCCTAACAAGTTTTCATATTTTGGTTAAGCGTTAACTCTTCCAATACTTTGAATTCTTTTCTGAAAACTTACCATTACTGATTCAAATCCATAAAGTTAAATTCATACAAGTATTCTTATAAAGACTAAAATTGAGTGCTTATATGACAAGTATTAAACTATAGACACTTGAACAAAATTTTATATTAACTTACAAATTTTATACGAAGTTTTCAGGAAAAAAATTAAAGTTAAATTCATAGAAGTATTCTTATAAACTAAAATTGAGTGCTTAAATGACAAATATTAAACTATTGACACCTGAACGAAATTTTATAAGAACTTACCCAAGCACAAACATCATTGACCATCATATCAACAATGTACTTAACATCATACAATGTACGTATAATGTACTTAACATCATAGACCACCTTTCTTTTTCTACTTATAGGCAAAAGGGTCACAAAGGTGTTAAAGGTGTGAAATTTGCACACACAATTCTAGAACAAGCTCCAAAAAGCTTGACCAGCTGAATAAGCACACAACCTCCATAATATATGAACTCAATAACAACTTGCATAACCAGAAACAAGAGAATGCAACGACCAGCAAGCTCCTCTTTCTCGGCTCTCTTCTCAATTTCTAGATAAAAGTCGCACCCACTTGTCTTGATAAACATTTTGCCACTAAAACATAATTTATTAATTGCACTATGTATTAATAGCACTACACTGAATAAATTATTTACTCATGCTGGTTATAATTTCTCCAATACACACTTTGCAAACAAAGTATCATTATATGGATGGCATGTCTTTAACTCCAATTAATTCTTTTGAGTGCGGATCCAGAAGCTTCATAAAAATCAAATAAAACTTACTGGATATTAGCGCCTTTGGTCTGGTCTTGAATAAAATCCGGTGCCGAATGATTCCAATGACTTCCAATTCTACCCTCGACGACTCATGTTCATTGTTCCCTTTAGCACCTAAATCTTTCATTTTTTTCAATACCAACAATGGCTTCTTCAGGGGCACTTTTGACCCCATCAATTCGTGATACCCAACAGTAAAAGTGTAGATTTCCTGAACAAGAAAAAGAAAGATAAAACACACACACAGCTCTAAAACTTGTTAGATACCCTAAAGAAACACTCTTTATAAACAATGACTAACTACTTGGACAGACTTATTATATGATCTTTTACCATATCATTAAAAACTGAAATTGCACCTCAAAAAGCATAAAACTTAGCTTGAAATCAATGCCAAACCTAAGAGCATCAAAATTAAGTGCCCAACTCCAAAATGATCAAATCCACTTGAGCTAGAAGCTTAATGTTCAAATCCCTCAAATTTCATTTATTATCAAACACAAGAACACAAGTCTAATTTATTATACAGAAGCTTTTTAACTATAATTTTCTAGTGGGAATCCAAACCTGAGAAGAAGGGCGACAAAGTTGTCCGATTTCGAGGTTTTGCAAGCGATCTTGGAAGGCAGACTGAGCTTCAACGACGCCCTGCAATTCTACAATTGCCCATTCTGGGCAATTCTCTTCTCCGCAACTACACTTAACTTGAATCTGCATTTTTCTGTTTTCTCTCTGCAAAAACAAAAGAAAGAAAATGCAGGACCAAATTCACCTTTTTAATTTGTTTTCCCAGAAACGCTCAGAATTCTGAGACGATCAGATGACATTTGAGAGCTGTAGATGAATGTATGTGTCAGTGTTTATATGTATATATACATATCTATATAGGATGGTACATAGGGTTTCTAAAGATTAGGGCTTTATATTTGCCTAATCGAATTGGAAGTGAATTTTTGTGTTGAAGTCTTGAACAAAAATCGCAAGATGTACAATTCGTGTTCATACCGATTAATTAGGGCATAAGCGTTGAATTTGGCGGCAAAGCCGATTGCACTTCCAAGCTTGCAAGTCCTGGGGGCGATCGTATGAGCCCCCCATTGAACGAAGCTAAACTTTACGGAGTAGTGAGTACACTTCAGACGCTGTCGTTTTGGGCATCTAAATACAAGGACCAAAAATAGAAAAATAATATATATATATATATATATATATATATATATTTTTTTTTTTCTTCTCTCAAAAGTTATTGATAGAGAGAAATAAACTTCATTCCATTAAAAATATTAGCATATTGAAAATCTATATTATTATTTAATTTTTTTTCTTGTTTCTAAGAGGAGTGAACATTTAACAATGTGATTTACTCAAAAAAAAAACACATTTATCATTGTTTAATTTTTTTCTTGTTTCCAAGAGAAGTGAACATTTATCTATGTGATTTACCCAAAAATAAAAATAAAAATTTATTAACCTGACGTAAATAAACCAAAGTGATTTCACAATATCAATTGTGAACTCACCATAAACCCACGAGAACCCAAGATTGATGTTGTGCAGTCACGAACATAACGCTGCAGACGGAAAACCCCTTCATCGAACCAATTTAATTAAAACTACAGGTACGTAATAAGATGGTGTGAAATGCCAAGCCAACTAGGAATTTACTTAGAATACTGTGTGTGTTCTAGTATATGTTACATCTAGCCTTAAGGTTACAATTAGCTGCTCGGAAACAAGAGGGAAAAAAAGGGGAAAAGGTCATAATACCTAAATAACTTCATAGTTCATACAGTAGCTCTTCTAATTGTACAGACTTCATAGTTCATACGTTAGTTCTTCTAATTGTACATAGATATTTCTACTAAAGCATTGTCTGTCTTGAGCATTGCTCACTTCTCCCTTCAACGTGTTGGTGACGACCACCACCACCTGAATTCTGTAAGCTAACATTTCCTGAGTTTGTTAAATTACTCGTCACCGACTCCTGTTGTTTAAGTAAAGGCTTCTCTGATTGTTGGCACAAAATATCAGCGTCACGGAAATCTAAGCCAACATTTTGTAATTTCAAGCCATTGGCTCCTTGGGTTTCTGATGAGCTGGGTTGCTGAAAGTAATTCTGAACACACAGATCATCCCCTACTGGAATCGCGCCAATGAGAGTTTTTACTGCAAATTCTATGCAAGGGTCTGTACACAAATCTCCATAAGACAACTCCATATTATCTTCAGCCTTATTCTCGTGCCCTATTGGAATTGCACCTGTGTGTATCTTTCTAGCAAATTCGATGCATGGGTCCATCCATGAATCCACCCTGCAACCAGGATTCTCATCAGCCTTATTCTCATCCCCTATCGGATTAGGGCATGGGTTCCCGTCAGCCTTATTCTCATCCTCTATTGGAATTGCACCCGTAAGAGTTTTTATTGCAAAGTCAATGCATGGGTCTGAATATAAGTAAGTAGGGGATCCTGGTTTCTCATTAGCATTGTCATCAGTTTCAAGTAGTCCAACATGTTCTTCTGGAATAGATGGGTTCTTGGGAGGCAAAACAAGAGGGCATTCTCGCTCTTTGTCAGGCTTATTATCTGCTTCTTCCTTTCCAGCATGCTCTTCTTGGGTGGTCACCTTTCCCAAGTTCTCACTAGTACTAGGGTCTGCCTCATCTGACCTTCTGGCTGCAACCTGACGAGCTCGTTTATTCGTTATTAAGTCTGCTGGTGGATCGACTACAATCCCAGCAAGTCGTTTTGAAGCCCGGCGAGGTAACTGAGGCTCTTTCATTTTGTTTAACCCAAGTAGCTTCTTTCTACTTCGATGCCTTCCTATGCCATCTTCCCGTTGTTGCTTTTCTGGAAGGGCCCCAACTACATCAGCTGAAACACTGCTTATAGTAGAATCACTACTCGCTCCTCCTTGCTTCAAATCCTTGGATCCTGGCAAGTCAACACTGTTCACTGCAGCCCCTTCCCTACCTACAGCATGCAGTAATTGAAATCAAAAGTAATGCCATGAGATAACACCCTCAATCCAGCTTTTCATTTCAATATCCAGTTGATAACCCAGGATGAAATGACTTGATTGCATTGAGGTTTGTAACATGACTCTGCTAAGCAACTTTTTTTTCAATATATATATATATTTTTCTTTTGAGAAATAAGCAGTTTTATATCAACTAAAACAAGGCAAAAAAAAATTCGATGCTTTTCTTGACCAATAGAGATGGTCTACACCATCGTAAAGGGAACTTTCAATGTAATTGTATGTGTATGGTGTTCTATCATAGAAATTTGTGGAGTTCTCATATGTCAGTTTCAAACTACACAGAACACCAAAAGACAAACAGAAGAAGATAATGACAAATTGAATGACAAAAAAACAAGAAAGAGTACTTAGTTATAGATTCATGTGAAGTTGCAAGTATAAAGCTTTACACTGATCAGATGTATGTTCAGAGAGAGGTATGCAATCTCCAGTACATGTGGATTCAAGATTTTGTTCCTCCTTTACTACAACCGGCTTCAAGCTCTGATTTTGTTCCTCCTTTACTACTCCAACCGGCTTCAAGCTCCGATTTTGTTCCTCCTTTACTACTCCAACCGGCTTCTGTTCCTCCTTTACTACTCCAACCGGCTTCAAACTTTGATGTTGTTCCTCCTTTACTACTCCAACCGGCTTCAAGCTCTGATTTTGTTCCTCCTTTACTACTCCAACCGGCTTCAAGCTCTGATTCTCAATAATCTGTCTATTTATTCCACTTTCTGCTAAATTCTGGTCTTCAGCTACAACCGGTGACTAAAAGAGAAAGAAAAGAAAAGACAAAAGAACGATGTTTAACCTCAATAAAATTTTTAACTGACAGTACACAACCAATGGCAAATGTTCTACAAGAAAGGAAAACTGATTATGAGGGCCCCCAAAGCTCACCAAATTCAGATGAAAATACATGCCATAAATAACGCAAAACTTTTTCAAAGGGGAAAAGAATTAAAGGAAATGTCAGCTCAGGTGAATTATAGAATGAATCGAGTATCAGGAGTTTTAGAATTTGAAGTGTCGGCATATCCGCATCGTATCATGTTCGTGTCTATATTTGTGCTTCTTAGATCTCTGGTAATCTGCCAAATACACACCGTGTAGGAGCAAAATTGGTGCAATGCAGAAAGGATAATCTATATGCATGGAACAAAAATGATCCAATTTTAGAAACATTATTATTATTATTATTATTATTATTATTTTTTTTTTTTGTTCTGGGAGTTTGGAAACTTTACCAAGGTTGTAAGCTATCACAGGATTACAGATATCAATTTCTTCAGTCCTTTTCTAATGCTGACATAACCAAAGGAAAGAATTTGCAGCAGATAATTAAAACTTGACAAGTAAAAGAAAAAGGGAAAAGCTTTGAGAATTTAATGATGAGCACACTAACAGATAATTTATCATCTTCCAACTCCATATGACTGTTGCCCTTGTCCTTTGGTTTGGATGCAAGCCTTCCCAGCTCTCCAGTTTTAACATAGCGAAGAACATCCTTCATAGAGCGGAATACATATCCACTAACAGGATCATTATAGTACTGCAGAAAATATAAATGACTTACATTCTGCACTGAATTTTGCCCTAGTAGGGAAACTATAGAAATTTAGAGTACTAAATCAGAAATAGAAGATAATGTAGTCAAGGAAAGATAAAATAAAAAGTACACATGGAAACAAGAAAAACTTGAGATGAACCGTGAGCATTACAACTACAGGTTGTCATGACAAGCATGTAGACAATGAAACAAGACCATAAAAAAAACTAGGGATTCAGTACCAGGTCTTATGACCTTTGTTTTTTAACTCACGGTTTCTTAATCCATTCTGGAGATAATTCTTCTGCTATGACCTTCTCAACCACAAACTAGATTGGTTGAATAATTAATATTTTATCTCAAAATTAGTAGAATACTCATAAATTATATATGAATCGAGTTACGATAACAAACTTTTGTTGCTGTGAGTTTTCTGTTTCAATTTTTTTCTTTCTTTCTTAGATTTATAATGGTCCGACTTCTATGTTGTCAAGCTAGTGAAACACCTCCGACTTGGAGTAGAATTTGAGTCCAATTGAGTGATCAACATAACACAACAACATAGATAAACGGTGAAACATTACAACATTAATATTCCACTTGGTTGCTAAGAAAACAGAAGGAAGTAATTTTTATAATTTTATACAGGTTTCCAAATCTGACATATACTAGAACAAATATTATATTATTAACAAGGGTGGAATTTCAATATCGGAAAGTTAATGTTGCAAGGTCATTTGATATCTAGCTAAAAAGTGCCACAATAAAAATCCTCCTTATGTCCCAAAACCTTTAGAAAGGTCTTATATCCACAAAAAACATATGAAATTTGTAAACTGTGACTCCACAACAAAGTTTACAATACAATGTAACTCATTGATATTAAGGATCCTTTTAAAGAACACAACTTCTCCAGACAATATGTGCATATATTATCCAGATCAAGTGGGGAACTCACCAGTGGCAGAGCTAAAGGAGAAACTCATTCTTTTATATATATATATATTAGTTTTGTATACATGATTTGCAATACTTCTAAAGTTGCCCATTTATTTTTTGTCCCCTCAAAATTCTCCCACCTGTTTACTATCAATTCCTGGCTCTATCATTGGAACTCAACTTGTTCTAGAACATAATAAAATTTTAGTGAAGAATCAAGTTCAGCTCTTTGATGTGATAAAAAAACTATAATAGTTCTGGTCATTGAATAGGGCAGTTCAGTGCAACCAAAATTCTCATTTTTTTTTCCCCTCTCAGAACCAATAAGCACATACGCTCATGTATAGCATCCATTTTCAGATTGAAAGAAAAGAGAAGACACTGTTAGTATGTTTCTGGAATGTTTTCAACAAATCTCAACCCTTTTTCCAGACAGGTCATATCCATTAACTACATTTCCATTCTGAGCATAGTTTTCTTTAAACAGACATTTTGTCAAATTTCATGCCATTTTAAATCTCAAAATTTTGGTACCTCAAAGTTGTGAGAGCAATACCATATTTAAAAGAAATTTTGACTTTCTATGAATAATGAGGTGCTTCATCTAGCAACTGTTGTTTTAGCGCGATTCTAATCATTTTGCATTCCAATTTAAAAAATGTGCCACAGACATGTCTTTTGCCATATCATCACCATATGATAGTTCTGTTTGTAAAATGTGTAGGACAAAATTTGACACCTCTGAGATTGCAACACGCGGCTGTGCATATATAACACTCATAATTATCATTTTGCATTTATTGTCTACCTGACATATGAGTAGATCATGTAAAACTCACCAAAGCTCCTATCCAAACTACTCCACATGTCAAAGAATAAGTTATTGAAATTAATGAGTTACAGTATCACCACCGCATTTAATTGAATCAACCCCAAGGGGTTGGCCCAAGTGACTTACCCACTTGGCCCTGGTGCCTCAGGAAACATCAAGTCTAAGGGTCGACTCCTCTTGGATGCAAACAATTCCTTGGAGGGGGTGTGTGAGTACCACCAACCAAGAAAAAAAAAAGAGACATTAACTCCAGTCTAAATACTGTGTTCAACTTCAATTTTACATCTGTTACCTATATACAACCACTGGCATCGTAGGCGAATATGCATTCCTAAACAGTAATATAGGACACAACTCTTTTGCTATCCCTCTGACCTTCAAACCGTTGACTTAAGAATCAGAACGCGTTGACTGTTACCAAGGTTCTCACCCTTGCAGGAATATAATTGTATTGAAGGACATGAAGTCTACTTGACAATGGGGGAATATTACATTCCATATAAACCATTTCCTTTGAGAAGACTACTTAACCAAAATAAAGGCCCCACTATGGTGTTCCATCTTCTTCTTCTAATACAGAACTAGTTAAGATGTATTATCTTCAACAGAGTTATTATAAGTTGTAACAGCTAATTTTCAGTTCTCTTCTTCACTTATGAAAAAACCAGCAAAAGAAACAAAATCAGAGTCATGCATATAACACTAAAGAAAACACAAAAAAGTTACACTTTTTTTCTCCTAAATCCAAGCAACAAGTGGAATATGTTAGAAAGCCCAATAATGGAGCTTAGGTTTCTTTTTCTCTCTTGGTTATATGATCAAAAGCTTAGATATCAATTCTAGCAACACAATCAAGAATAAAATGCAAGTATCATGTGAAAGATCTAAAATTTATTAACCTAAATAGTTCAAAAACAACAAATATGAGTTTTAACAGGTTCAATTACCTTGTCTTTTCTCCCATCCCTCCGAACTTTGAGCTCCATGGTCCAACCTGACGGAAGCCAGTCCGGCGACTTCTGGTCAGCCATTTCACCGGAATCTGACGTACTCCGGTGATCTTGCACCGAAAATTTGCGAATTTCTCCGTCGATTGACCTCCCAAGTGCTTCTCTCTTTTCTCTCTCTAAAACCCCTAAAATGGAGAATCTATGAGTATAAAAGGTCCACTGTTTCTCTCTCTGACTCCAATCTTTCTCACTCTACATAAAATAGAGTAGCGGACAAAAAGGCGTCCCAAACCACGTGTTGCCAAACTTTCTGAGTGTGTAATTCGAGAAACCCAAAACGTGTCCGAGATGCTGATACACTCCTATTACCTACATCATGATGATATATAATAATACTATTTCCTAACTCCACTTCTCCATTTTTGTTGAATTTGCTTCATTATGGTCTCTTTTGACCAAATCATAATGAAACATGATCGGTAAATGGTAAAGTCTGTGTGACGGAATAGAGTTAAAATTGACCTGAATTTGACAATGGGACTAATTTGACTGATGGGAGAGGGAGGACTGATGTATGTTGAATTTTTTATTTTTTTTATAATTTTTTTTCTAATGAGAAGAATCTAAAGAGTAGGTGGTTAGAGGAAAGGACGGTTTTAGGTTCAAATACGACTTGTAAATAAAAATATAACTCAACCATCTGAACATCATCCGTGCCATTGAATATATGCACCCAATATAACGTTTAATATATGCAGTATGAACTAGCCTTTGAGTAATGTGCTTCCTAGAAGGAGGAGTCAAGGTTTCATGAATTGCGTATGAATTTTAATATAATTATGTGTATATACAATATAGTCACCAAAATTGTCCACCTTGGACTTTTGAGAACCTATATATATATATATATATATATAGATATATGTATGTATGTATGTATGTATGGCTGGCCAATTCTGAGTGTAATATGCACAAAAGCCTGATGGGTCAAACTGCCTCACTGCTACGGTCCTTGTGCAGTCTAAATAGTCTGGAAAATTAGGGTGTCCAGGTGCATAATTTTCAAATAGCCTCAACTATCATTCAAAAACATAAATTTGGATGCTACTGCAAATATGTGCAAGAAATGATAAATGGTACTTATTTGGTCGAGACTTGCAGTTGTCTTTGACAGAAGAGCCACCAGAAAACAAACAAGAACATATTTTGAAAAAAAAAAATATTTCACATTCGATATGAAAAAATATCAATCAATATTGACATTCTCTTTAAAATGTATGCTTCTTCAACTTTGTGTTTAGCATTTTAGCTTGAAATTTGAGAATAAATTTTGCTACATATATGTTTTGTTTGCTCTGATGTGGTTTATTATATTCTGCAAATGCTGCCAAAATGCATTGCTTAATCATCCAAAGAGAGAGAAACAAAGCCTACACTATAAGTCTATAGCATAATTAACAGTTTCTTAATCTTCCTATTTTTATTTTTATTTTCTAAGAGAAAAGCCAAAACCATGCGCATGCCGTCACCATGCAGGCTTCAACAATTTAATAACTTGGAAATGGCATAGAGATGAAGAGCACTCCGTTGTCTCTCTAGTTGTTTATCATTTTACTTAAATACTTTTCTATGGTTTAATCCCCGATTAATGGTTTTTATTATTATTATTATTATTAACTCCAGGTTTTAATTAAGCCGGCCAACAAAAAAAGGGACTTGGCCATTTAGACTAGTGTAGATTTTTTAAAAAAGGAACCTGTTTTTGGATAACTGAGTGTTATGGTGATCAAGAACTCATGATGTAAAACAATTTTCAAAAAATATATTTTTTTGGTATTTGGTTGTCGTAAAATATTTACGAAAAATCTTAGAACTTAACAAAAATAAGTTACAACCTCAATCTCCACCTAAACCTTCATCAACATCGAAAATATATACCTAAAAAAGATAAATCTCTTCCAACGAAAATAATTTACAAGCTTAAATGTGTGAAAAAAAGTTGGGAGAAACTTGGTTTTAGTACCCTTACCCCTGATTGATTGCTGAGAAACCAAAGGAAAAAAGAAGGATCAAATTACTCTTTTCATCTATTAAGAAGAAGAACTCAACTATTCCACAAAGAACTACTTGGTTCAGTTTAGTCATCATAGCTAGAGTTCTTCATTTATTAAGAATCAAACAGTAACAAGAAATATCAAATTGCTCTTTTCATCAGTTTGATATATAGAATTGGATCATAAAACCTTTAAAAAGTCTCGGATTTTCTACACAAAGGTATATTATATATCAAAACGGGTAGGTGAAAATTTCATAATTCTTATAAATGGAGTAAAGAACACTTCAAGTACATGAATTAGAAAACTTTTGCAGTTTTCTATAGATAAATAAAAAAATACACTCAAAAAAAAAAAAAAAACACAGAACTTACATTACCTTGAACCCCAATTTATATAATACATCTCCTTTCATAATCTTTGTAAAGTATTTTACTCTACAAACCAAAACGATTCTACCGCTGCCTTCAAATTGAATCATCTGGAGGCAAGAACCTGATCAGTTGTGAAGTGGATTTGGTCCACAAGGGACTTTTCGGTGTGAAACTGCATGCACTGGCTTGCTCTCGCCATTCTCAAAGTCTGCTTGGCGGGGAATGGTAGAGAAGGACCGCGACAATGTAGAAAAGTATTTCATTCTTAATTCTTCATCCGTTCGACCAATGTGCCTGCAACTGGATACATGAACTAATGCAAGCATGATTATGAAAATGATGAATGGGATCAAAGAATTTCGGATTCTCATGATCCAAACGGAGGGAGAAGACAGCTGAAATGAAGATTGGAAACGAAGGAAGCTAGTGTTTTTGAGTTGTTGTTATGTACATGCAGGATGGAAGTCTATTTATAAGGGAATAAGCAGCATGTTGTGGGAAAGTCAGAGCTACAGCTGACTTTCGAAACATTTTCTAAACAGTGTTGATTTGTTGCGCAGGCACATCTTAAATTTCTCTAAAAATGAAGGGCAGTTGGCATTTTCATTTTGGTACTGGGCAAAACCTCTTAGCATAATATTAAATATTATCTATAAGAAATTAAATAATGGCAACAAATTATGATCTCGGCAGATAAAAATTGATTCTTAAAAAATGTTACTTATTATTATAGATAAATAAAAATCCATGGTCGTCTCCTAACTTGCCGTACTGATCCTTTCTTTAAGAGTGTATCTGGTGCTGATACATCCCCTAAAATTATATCAAACAAAGTATAAAATATAAAAGCATGGTAGAATGCTTTTTCAAAGAAAATTTTAAAATGTTGTCGTTGTTGTTCTATTGTTTTTACTTGTGAAGACATCATGGAATGCTCCAAGTTGCGGAATGAAGAATTTAATAACTTATGTTTTTGTCAAACCCTAAGAATAGCCAAACTGAGGTCACCTTGCAGGCTTCTCCAATATATATACTTCGAAATAACACATGGATGCATAGGAAAACAACAAATAGAATTATTGTTTTTTTGTTGGCCTTAGATTTGACTTACTCATAATTTACTTATTTTTAATAATTAATTTCAATCTCAAACTATTGAGTAACCCTAAATTGGTTAGTCAACTTTTCTGATGGTAAAGGACTTTTGAATTCTCATGATTTAAACGACTTGGGAAGATGAGTTTTGAACTGAGGGAATGGGCTTTGTTTGGGTTGTTTTTAAGTGTTTTCGGGTTGGTTGGAACTTGGAAGCCTACATATAAGGATGATACAAGAATTGAAGGTGAAAGAAACTAATTCTCATGACTTAAAGAACTCGGAAGAAGAGTTCTAAAGCAGTGGCTTTGTTTGGTTTATTTGCATGTTTTTGCAGATCAGTTGGAACTTGAAAGTCTATATAAAAGGATCGCCGTAAAATCTGTCCTCTCGTTTAGGTCGCGTAGGCCTAATTAGAACTTAGGATTGAGTGTTCTAATAAAAGTTTAAGATACTCTCTGTATAAAACTATAAATATGTGCGTCAATTATAATTATTATGGTGCCTGAGTTCAGGAACTTGCCTACTTTTCAAGCTTTTACATGAGACGTTTCTAAACGGATCACGCGACCTTTGACGATTATGGAGCCAAAATTCAGAACCAACTATATGGCATAGGCATAGACACACCATTAATATCTATTCTTTGATTGCAGCACCTAATTTAGCCCTATCTCTTTTCTTTCTTTTTTTCCTAGTTGAGACTCACACACACTGCCTCCACTGACGTTCGAACCCCTGACCTCTCTTTGAGAAGTATGAGAAGTAGGAGCTTTGTACCGCTAGGCCACAGGTCTGTTGGTAAATTAGCCCTATCTCATACTATCATGAATTGATCATCACGTATCCTAGACAGAATTGAGAGAACAGGGGAAGGGTAAACACTCTTTTATGTCTATAAATAAGAAAATGCGACAAAGAAAAACAAACTTTAAAAGATTTTAGACCTAAATGGGGATTGAAATGCCATTATGCTACAAGCCTACAACTGTAAATTTGTGAGGGTTGAAGTTGAACAGTGCAACTGGACATGGCATTTATTTGGTGTACTCCGTGGCAGGTGCATTGGGTAGATGTCTCAATCTACAATTTCAATTGCCAGCAGAAAAGGCCAAATGCATAGCCCAAGAACCTACCTTGTGAGTTGTGGTGCAATAACACAGAAGGCTATGTTCACATCTTAATCCACCGTGGTTTGCCAAAATAAACTGTGCAGAAATTCATACAACTTTTTGCGTAAGTTGGCCGACAATGAATCAGTCTTTTCATTGTTACCCAGTGCAAATAAACTTAATACATAGACAGAAGATGCTACATCCTAAACAGTGAGTCATTAGTTTCCTACCACATAATAGGATAGATGAGATTGGATGGTTGGAAATGACATTACCCTTTTCAAGTCCTCTACCTGCACTGATCATGCTTTCCAAGTGGTAATGCAAGAAAATAAGTCAATGGGGAAGGGAAATTTTATGGCATGATTTTACAATGATTTCATTAATGAAGTGGCCACAGAGTAAATAAAATACAGGCAGCTTTAACAGGTGAAGGTAAACAGTACCTGAAACAATACCCTCCAACCTCTGTGTGAGTTTGTAGGCTAAAACAAGCATGATCCATGGAAGTAGATTCGGAGTTGTAAAGACAACATAATATCTTGAAGAAGACGAGCTCTTTCCTTTCGTTTTCCACCAGTTGAAGCAACCCAAACCCCCTTATCTCAAACCTCAGTTTTTGAACCTCTACCTGAGGCTCTCAAGGTTCATCCTGTGCTGTTTGATCAGATCATTAGTAGCAACTAGCAAGTCATTTAAGCAAGTTCCAGATTCAACCCATAGGTCTATATGGGTCATAAGTACTAGGTTGTGAAGAAATCCCAGGATCACAAGCAGGAGTTGCACATACGGCTTACCAAAAATTTTATATTTTTTTTCCATACAACTGCGCTCAATTGGAATTGGGGTTAAAAAAAAAGAGGTGGTGCATATAATCCAGGTAGAGCTGATATGTGCATGATTAAAGGCCAAACTCACTAAAAAAAGAGAGACTAAGCTGTTCAAAGGAGCTCGAGAAGCAATTACAGTATCCCAAATATATAATTTTACTTCAAAAGGTAACCCTTATGTCCTTACATAATACAGTGAAACTGCAGGTCAAACCCCAAAAGTTTAACATCATTGAGTCATTATTTATTACTTCAACCAACTAAAATTCAAGCAAGTTTGTTGTGACTAGGGTAGTATAAAGTTAATAAACTTGAATGTGAAACAAGTATGAAAAGCAGGCACCCGATTATCACTCTTCCTCGGCTTCTCCATAATAAGTCCCCATAGTATCCTATTGTGGTTGAATGAACATTACTGATTACTCTTTCTCGGCATTGCCACCAGATGTAGCTTCTGTAGTTCCAACGTCTGCGGTCTCTGATGCAACATCTTCTGTAGGCTTAGCAACATCTTGGTTGGTAGCTTCGGTAGGTTCTTCAGTGGATGACCCATCTGTTACTGGCACCATCTTCTTAATAGTTCCAACTTTAACATACTTGCTCATAAACTTGTATTCCCAATCTTGCAAGGCCTCGAGTTCGAACGGACCAAGACCAGAGGTATCACCCGTAAGGTCTTTTTCTTCAAAGGACATCTTAGCAAGAGCTCTGCTAGCATCCTTCCCGGCAAACAGAGCATAAGGCCCTCCAGGCCCATAAAACATCCTGCAAGAAGGATGAGCTTAAATTGAAACAAATTGGCAGTTTATGTTTGGGTTAGTTAAAACACCACACAAGAAAGGCTGATTTCCTATCAAAACAAATTAGAAGTTGCAGCATGGATCAATATAATTGAAAATATACTACTGGGTAAGAACTTTAATTTAATCCACCTATTTTTGTTGCAGAATACTCATGCAGACATTGCAAGGTAGAAAGATACAACATATTCTCAGAAATAATTGCTTTATGGGGTGTTAGAGAAAACAAAAGGAAATGAATTGATTCAAGTTACATGGTTACTCCCTGTGTAGTTATGTATGATGTAGGAAATTAAAATCCTGAAATGGCCCTTCTAAGTGAGTATGGCAAGTAGCAAGTTGTTTGCCATAACTACTACCAAATACAAAATGGATTTGTTTAACTAGGTCCCTAATTACTCACTTAGATCCAGTAGGGACTCATTCTTCATCACCTTAGATAATATATCATATGAGATAGCCATTTAGTGAACTACCTTCAAGACTTCATCTTAAGAGCATACATAAACTGCCCAAATATTTATGTTACCATCTTATATACATACTATATATAAGGCCATTATCCAGTGTTACGGGGTGCTTGAAGGGGAAGACTTAATAGTTGATATAAACCTAACCCTTGTTATTACTTTTTGCACATCATGGTTGCTCTTAGGCTCAAACATTCTTCCACATAATTGTCAGCCCACTAGGTTATAGGCTATATATGCTAACAGTAAATGCAGCACATTGTGGGAGACTAACTTCAGTGAAAAAGAACAAATGAAACAACCAAATCTAGAAAAATATAGCAAAGGGTAGAGGGGATATGGACAGGCAATGGAAGGTTTACCATAAACAACATTACCAAAACTAACCACATTCAAAGAAGAAAAGTGAGAATAGAATAGACAGAAGAGCCAGTTACAAACAATTCTGCATAAAAAGCCATGATAACAAAATGCCACCTAATATTAATAGTAAACAATTTCAATATACATTGCTTTGGTCTCTTGTTTGCATTTTTCAAATTTTAATAGCAGGTACAATTGTTTTGTCAATGAAAGTCATGTGTCACAATTCAAGTAATAGCAATCCCAGATCATGGAACTCCCATCCTATGGTTTAACCACAGTAGGCACACCTTCATATCATCACTACAGCCATGCATCGAAACAATTGTGGAGAAACACACATCATATTGGAACATCAAACAGCATTCAGTTCGCCAACAAACAGATGATAAAAAAAATTAAAAATTAAAAAAAAAAATTAAAAAAGAAAGCTTGTGTTCCTGAAACTAAAAACCCCAATTGTGCACAAGCATAAGCTAGATCCTACGAAGAATCCCATGAAAATCCTCCAAAAGTTATGCTAAAATATCTAAAATCCGAGACAGAAATAATTATCCTCAAGCATTGCACGACTTATGATAAAAACAAGAACTATCATATGCTAAAAACCTCAGAATCCAAGAAAGGTATATACTTTAGCAAGCAGTGAATCAATGCAAGAATGCAAGTCGGGATAATCAATAAATAGGCAACCAAAAAAAAAAAAAAAAAAAAAAACAAAACAAAACAAAATTCATTCCTAGAATCATTTGAACCCCACAAAGGGTTACTTTTCAGACTTAGAAAAGAAAGAGAGAGTGCAGAAGATAAAATATCAAAATATTAAATTAAAAAAAAAAAAAATACAGAAATCCTGAAAAATCACTCTAATTGCACAAAACCTCCAAATATCTTCATACCCAGAAGCTAAATTATCCAGAAAATATATAATCCACATAGGGAGAAGCAAACAGACACATAATTTTATACAAACAGACACATATGTGTGTAAATATCTTCATACCCGAAGCTAAATTATCCAGACAATATGTGTGTGTATATCTGTGCTATACCTGCTCTGTGATACATCATAGATTTGACCCTTGATCGCCATAAGCAAAGGCTTCTTGGAATCCTTGCCATCATAGGCCTTCAACTCCTCTTCAGTGATCTCTCCAAGCTGAACTGGAGGAGGCAGAGGCTCCATCTGTTCTTCGGAAGCCCTAGAACTCTGATGGTGATTATCAGACCGTCCAAACAGCCCTGAGATGACATAGTAGATGGCAAGCGCCAAAGCAAGGAAAGTAAAGAATGTCGCCGGAGAGAGTCCGGTGTACACTGTGATTGATTCCTTCAGAGTCTCCCATAGTTGCAGGGCCATTATTTTCTGTGATGGCTACAGAGAGAAAAAAAAAACAAAAATATTCTCAGGGCAGGGCAGAGCAGAGGTGATAGAAACAAGGAAGAGTACAGATTTCGTGAACTGATGGGCTCTTGTATCTTGTACAGCTATCAACCCATTAATAACTGGCTTTGGTCTTAGCTTTATATATAATAATAATTAATAAGTCACACAAAGCTAGCGTAGAAATGAGTGTGAGAGCGCTTTATATTCCTGCTATTTGCTTATTTTCATAATCATATATTTAATTAGGTAATAATAAAATAATAATAATCTTTTGAATTTTTTTTTTTTAATAATACTAAATCACACAAAGTAAAAGTATAAAAGAAAATCTAAATGCACTAAATGGAGTGAAAATGAATAAAATGAAAGAGGTCGAGCAGAAAATGATAACATTAGATTAAATAACCATTGGAATCAATATTGTTTATTTATTTTAACAGATATATTTATTTTCAACTTCCATTTATGCCACAAAATTGGATGGAAATATATGGGTCACATCACTGAAAAGCTGTGTTTGGTTAATGGTTATGCTAGTAATAGGAAAAAAAAACAAAAACAAAAAAAAAAAATTAACTCTCTTTATCACCCTCCATCCATTTCACTTCACTTTTAAATGTATAAGAAAATTACTGTGCAACACCCTCCTCCCTCCAAACACTCTCCTAGTTATTTGCTTTCTTTTCCTCTGATTTCCATCAGAACAAACTAATCGTACATGAAGCCTCTATTAAATTCAGACCAAGTATAAACCAATGAATTGAGTTTTAAACAATCTCTAATTCAACTCAATTTATTTAGCATTCTAAATACATAACTGTAGAAATCATGAAAAGAATGGTTGTAACGCTCTCCACATGACATAAAATGAATGGTAAGAGCAGCCAAGTCTCTCCAGTATCAGTACTATCTAATTAACTATATGTATTTTTTTTTTTTGCAAAATTAACTACTCCTTCTGTCGAAATTGTTGATTGTATACCAAAACATATATATATATATATATATGAATGAAACTTCGATTTAAGCCTCTTATGGTCATGTGATACAGTGATATTTAGTCCCATCATTGAGGGGTAGATTGGTCATTTAATCTAGACGCCAGGTTGTCAGACGGTAGGTGAGCATACCACACAAATGTAGTAAAAGGAAACTAAATTTTAGAAATCTGAAATTTTTCTTCCAATTATTATGTATAATGGAAAAACAGGTATTTCTTTTGCCAACATACAAAGTTATCAAGATTTTTTTTAATTTTTTTTTTTTTTACCTTGACGAGAGATAGTTTACCTATAACCCCTGTTTCATCATAGCGATTGCTTAATGGTTAGTAAGATTTTTAAAACATTGTATTGGTATCAGGGGCGAATCTAAGAATTCATACGAAGAGAGACAAATTTATATAGAGGAGTTCTTTTATAATTTCAGAGGAATTAATTTCAAAATTTTATTAGTATAAATATAAAAAAAATATAAATTTAGATATATAAAATGAAATAATAAAAAATGTAAGTGTGCCCTACTGAGCCTTTCACATATCCGTGCTTGATTGGTATCCGGTAAATGGCACTTCACCAAGCAAAATTTAGTAAGATTTTTAAAACAATATGTTACCAAATGATTTTATTTAGAAATGTTACCAAGTTTATGAAATGCACGAGAATCACGATCCAAATACTTAAATGCCCAAGAAAAACACGTGCTTGTGCTTGTGCTTTTTGTATCGACTATTTCGGCTTTACCCAAAAGATGAAGGAACCACAAACATACCCAACGCTCTGTTTGGATGGCAGAGTAAGTCATATAAATTTCATTAATAAGAATAAGAAGTTCAATCCAATAATGACACTCCCACCTCATTTTGTTCAAGTGTTTGGACAGAACATATTATATACAGATATTAGTCTCAATTTTATTGTCGTGATTACTTAACTTTCCTATATGATATTTATTTTTATGATTTCTTGTGTCATGAATATATCATATATTAATGAGAAATAAAAGATGTTTATGCTTTGTTGTCACAGTCAAGCAGAGCAAATTTGATTATCTGAAATTTTACAGTAAGTTTTGACAATTTGGTATTAAATAGAAAGAGAGCAATAAGATTAGTCGAGTCAAGTCAAGTAGCCCAATAACAAATAATTCAATTCTCGAGATAGACCTTGGAGAGTGTGATTTCTTTATTCAAAATTTCTAACGTGCTACAAAAGTTTGGAGTCTAGCCACATATAATCAACAAATGAATGCGGATGTTCAAACCAGCAATTCATATCACCAGAAAATTGATAACTATTCAAATCAAATCACCTCATAAATAAAATTGACAAACCAATTACATCATATTAATGCTACCCATCAAACCAGAAAAAACCATTACTCAGGTCCCACTTATGTGGAGTACTTGTGTTCAATACAAATTAAAGAACTCTGGTTTTATCCTGTGCCAGCTCAACAACTTCGTATCAACTATTTTAAATTGTCCACGCAACTTTACATGATTAATTCGTAAGCAATGTATTGTGTTGCGTAAACAGTACAGAACACGAATACAGATCCTGAATCAAAACAAGGATACGAGACTTGTGATGTTATATTACATGAAGTGACTACTCCTAAATTCAAACATACATTAACTTACTCGTCAATCCAAGTTTTTATCCCTTCAAATAATGCAAATTAGAAAAGCATCCATACAATGAGTTCAAGATTACCACCTTGCCTCTTTCTCAATAGACATAGTGAGTAACAATTAGATTTTAATAGACCAACAGGTCAGTGGCTTAGCGGTATCGGGCCCTTACTTCCCAAAGGGAAGTCAGGGGTTCAAGCCTCCAAATAAGCATATGTGCGTGAGTATCAACTATGAAAAAAAAAAAAAAAAAAAAAAAACTAACTAGATTTTAATGCGTAAATAATATTAATTTCTAATGCAAATTGAACAATAAAGGAGAATCCAATCAAAAATCACAAATTTAAGATCCTTGCGGATGCCAGTAATCGTGCCTCTTATTTGTTTATCCATAAAAAGTTGCGCCTTCCCAAACCACCACACACCAAAAAGAAATTCAGACTTTTCTGGTAACAACAGGGAAAGGAGAATTCACTATGTACAACAACAATACAGGCATAACAGCTCTCCCCTAAGAAGCAGCTGCCAGTCCATGACTCCATGGATAAAGTTTAACAAGGAATACAGAACCAACTATATTCACCTGGAAAATAAATATATAGAGAAACAACTATGTTTACAATTCGATAAAGTTTTATTCTGTTTCTTGTGCATGAGTTATACATTCCAATCGGTAAAATGTAATTTACTCCACTAGTACTCTCTCATGATGCAACAGTCAAAGTGCAAGAGATCTCACCTCATCTGCTTTCCAAAATAACTCTCCATATCTGTACCACCTCAAGAGCCCTTCGTCATTTCTAGTACGTTGGCATGCCATGCACGAGTCATCATTGCAAGTTAAAAACTGACGTAAGCGAGAAGCCCTCCTAAGAATAGATTCATCAAGCTCCTTGAAAACTTTTTTGGGTGCAGGAGGTGGAGGGACTTCAATAAGAAGACAATGTGATATGTTGAGCACCTCTAAGTGTTGTAAGCCATCTAAGATTATTATTAGAGCATCTTTCAAGAGCATTGAGCACCGGAGGCTTAAAACCTTCAAGTTCGGCAAGAACGCAGTTAGTGTAGATGCAAATAAAATGTCACAAGGGCCCATGATCTTAAGTTCAGAAAATTTCTTGCAGTTCTTTGAAATTTCTTCCATGAGATATGGAGGATTTGCTATGCTGGGCATTGTTAAAGACTCAAGATCTTCCCACACGCGGATAGCCTTGCATATTCCAGTCTTCTTTATTCGGTTCCAAGCTGGCATAACAAGTCGTTTGAGACGCGGGCACCTGCAACAAAAACAAATAGCAGGTCACTCCTCATGATGCCTACCATTGCATATCTAATAAAGATGCAAAATATATCTGATTCTTTTCTAATCAAAGTGAAGCAAGAAACAGGTTTTTGGTGGTGGTGGTGGTGGTGTTGGTTGTGCGTTTGAGGGATACTCAAATCTATAAACATATATAGAAAGCAGCATATTGCATCTGAGCAGATTCTAGCAGATGCAAAATTTAACTAGTAGGAAATGAATAGAATTAACAAAAGGCCATGACAAATGCCACATCTTAAAAACAGAACCACGTGTTTTCCCAATGGCTGAAATTCCACCTCATCGTATATGAGAACATGTGTAGCAAAGCCGATCCAATTTACAGCCCACCCCATCCTCAATGACTTAATATAAGACAACAGAGAAAAGGCAATTCAGCCCTCTGAAATTTAACATAACTCGGACTTTGACACGGACATCAGAGGTAGACAGTCTTTCAATTAATTCAAAGAGATAATTAAGTCACCTAGGAAAGGCAAACAACATTGACGTCAACCTCAGAAAAGCTCAGTGATTCTTTTTGGAAACACGAGGAGATTGGCAAGATAATCAGAAATCCTGGGAGAATTCATATACATTTAACTTAAAAAATGGGTAACTTATTTAGTGTACCTTTCAGCAGTGTAAGTCAACTGATCGTCGTTGATGTAGAGATTGAAATGTAAGATCAAGGTAAGTATGTTCCCCCTGCTAAGATTTAAAGCAATCTTTAACACCCGGGTTAATGTTTTATCAGACCGACCATCCACATAAACATATGGCTCTAATGGGATCTTAATGAAGTTTGATCTCAACATTGTTAAGTCAAGGGTTTTCCACAGCAGCGGATCACAGCAAGCCAAACGCCATGTGCTACAAACTTGAGCAATGCCAGAAGTCAACTCAAAGATGTCAAAAGACTGGAATATTTTCACCAGAATGTCGATGTCCAGGTCCCCCCATTTCTTACCTATAGTGTCAATATCTTCCATTTCACAAGCTTGACAAAAATCTCCAGTGATTTACTGCCTACATAGATGAGGAAGGCAATCAATATGAAAGTCAACCCACTAATTTCATTACTCAATGTTGAATTTTTGTCATTTAAATTGAGAAACAATAGAAGCTAGCATTTGTAAATAATCTCAGTGTGACTGGATATTTCCAGATTCAGCTTCTTGTCACATAATTAATATGCAAAATTACAAGTAAATTTTTCAATGCTGTTATAAAACGACGACGACATAAATGGTACCTGAAGCCTACACCGGGATCTTATGTATAAATACAAATAAATAAATAAAAATAATTGCCCAAAAGAAAGTATTTTAAAGAATATATATCTATACAAATAAATAAATATAGGTGAATAATCCAACAAAGCTGTTAGCCAGAATGATACAGAAAGTTGGTTGCACACCATCTAATTATCTATTTCCTGAAATTCTGCCGGAAGAATGAGTGAAAATATGCTGCTGGAATTTGCGGGCTTGACCCGAATCATCTCTAACCTAATCAGGTACTAGAAAAGAGTGTGCATGCTTGCACTGTATCAAATTTTTGTCAATTTGATGGTACATAGCTCATTTACATGTCATTCGGACCAACAGACTTTCCTAGACACAACTCTTAATAGATTCCACTAATAAAAAATAACCAAAACTCCACTATGCATAACCCTGTTTATACAAGTAACTTTTTAACTTTACGATCCTAAAACCAGAAACATCACTAGCTCGTGATTTAGATATCCTGTCAAAGTACTCTGCAAAGCTTGAAAGTTGACACCTGTAATGCTTCTTGTCCCCCCGCCATACGGAACAGGATCAGCATATGTGTCCCACAAGAACAAGAATACCCATTACAATAATGCTCCAACGTATATAATATAAAATTTCAAGGATGGAAGGACAAATTATAATGGTTCGATAGTTCTGATGACCTACTCTAAACCAACAGTAAACATTAACATCTTTCAGAAAAATGCAGTTGCTCCAAAATATTCCTTCATCACCATCACCACCACCACCATCATCCTTGCCTTAAGCCCATATGAACGAATTGACCACATGAATTCTCTTTTACTATTCTTTTCTATTACAAGCCATCTTATAAATTATATTTAATTTTTAAAAATCATTTCTATAGGTCTTATATGCGTCCATATCACTTAAGTCTACTTTCTCTTATTTTATCAATAACAGGCATTACTCACAATTTTTCTCTCACTTTCATTAGTAACCCTATCTCTTCTACTCACTTCAAAGTTCAACCATCCAACTTAATATCCTCATTTTATTCTTTTGTTGCACAAAATACTATTAGTCTGTCTCCATTTTGTTCAATCTGATCCAAGTCTACTAACTATATCAATATCTGTCTCTCCATACTTTTGTGTATTGATCTAAATATCAAAAATAGTTAATTTGGATAGTCCTTTGGTTTGAAGCATGATCGTTATATTATTATATCTGGCTCTTTGCTAAATTTCCATTCCAGATATTCTGCTTAATCCTACTAATTTTTAATCCTTTTGATTCTAATCTTTTCTCCACATTTTTTATTAAGTTTTCATTAAAAGTATCCAATAGACTTATCAAAAAAAAAAAGTATCCAATAGCACTATGCCTTTCGCAAATAATATGCACCATGGGAAATCTCTTTGTAAGTTTTTTGTTATTTCAACTAAAACTATTGTAAATGGATATTGGCTAAGTATTAATCTTTGGTACAATCCTATGTTTATAGAAAACTCACTAGTCTACCCTCACCACCTACAGACTCTGGTTTTTGTGTACGCAGGCATATCCTACATAATATTTATCAGCTCTCTATGGATTTGTTTTCGTTGTAGAGTCCACCAAGTTCTATCTCTCAAGACCATATCATATGCTTTTTTCTAATCATAAGGCACCTAAACAAGATCCCCCTTCTTATGATCCCTTATTGTTATCGCGTTGAGCCTTGAGCCCATACCGATTGAGTGGAGCCACCCATTAATCAGTCATTAATTCTGTTTTTATTCTAGGAAATCTATAAGTCACTGAAAAAGTCCATAGAGACAGTAGTAGTTCTAAATTATTTGCATTAGAAGTCATTCTAAATGCATGAAAAAAGTTTTCAAATTAAATGCAAGCACGGGAATTTAGATTTAGTAATAACTACGAAACTGCATTCTATAAGCCTATAAATTATATATATATCAACTATATTCCAATGTTTAAGATTTACATGTGGAATTTTGGAAGTGCAATTTGGCAGATTAGGGAAGTGTGCAAGTGTCTGAAGGAATAATTAATTGCTTTAAGAAGACGCCATGCTTTGAAATCTGTAATTAAATTATGCAAAATTAGTCGTTACACTTTCACTCTCCCCCCTCCCTCCTGCCCTGTATAATACACTCCAAATGCTTCTAACTCACAGTGAGATAGAAGACAACTGAATAATTCCTTGTAAAAATTCTCAATGAAAATACATATACATAAGAAAGCTGCATGGGGAATTGAAATTCAATGTGAATGTTAATCGGGGTTTCGGCTCTGCACTGACGTGGCAAGAAGCAAGAAATATAAAGGAACATGGAACTTTTTCTCTAAGATGAGGTCTAAGTTTCAGCAAAGGAGACAAGAGTAGTGTTTTATTGTTAAGAAAGACTGATAAAGAAAATAATTCAGTGAGATGACAAAAACCTGCTCACATTAAGATTCTTAATTCATTTATTTTAAAAAGTATCACACACTCCACTTTAAGCCTTAATCTTGTACCTTCAACAATCACTAATCAATTTAAGTCACCATTTCTCCTTGATGCCAAATGAATTAACTTGGTCATGCTCCCTCATTATATAAATCAATAAGGGCCATTTTCAGGTTCCCCCAATGTTTCCATTAATATTTTTGGTATATATTCTAGGGCAAATTGCATACCCTCCCCCGCCCCCCCCCCCCTCTTCCTTTGGCACAATACCTCCCTATAAAAAATAAAAATAAAAAAAGGACCTAAAACCCCCCTAAACTATACCCAGGGGGTCTGGCCCTTATGGCAAATGAGATGCCGTTAATGTCTATTTGAAAGTACTAAAATACCCTTATCTGCTGATTTTTAAGAAAATACAAATGACCATCACACCCCACTACTGGATATACTAGCAATTCCATGAGTTGCCTAAACAGATATATTGGAACCCCATCTTCTCTGCCATCGCGAACCCATCTTCTCTCTCATCTCTCATCAACTAGGGCTTGAAGATTTTAGTTACAAAATGGAATAGGGTTTCGCTAAAAAATTTTGATCTCATATGTGACTGTTCTACAAATTGCTCTCTTTTGTTCTCGTTGGAAGACTGAAATTTCCGGCAATTTCACCGGCTTTCAGTCACAAAAATGTCTTCAATCGACTATATGGATCTCATTCTTTGAACCATATACCATATCCTCTGTTCAAATTTTTTATTTTATTTTTTTGATCTGAATTAGTTTTCCTTAAACCAAACTAATTTTAAAAAATAAAAAAGAGTTGTTTTTTGTGCAAATTTCTGTTTTGAATGGAGATATACACACACACACACACACACACACACACATGCATACTGTTTGATGCTAATTTTGTTGATTGTACGAAAACAGATGCAAAAGACTAAACAGTTTAGGCCTCAATTCTCTTGTATTATCCAAAGCTTTTTATAAAAACGTTCGATGTTAAAGATAAGAACTAGCCCGAGTCCACTCACCGATTCTTGAAACAGTGTGCCGATTCCGGCAAAGATGAAGGTTGCTACACTCTTGGCATGGTCAGTATGTAAATAAATCACATACATGCATAGACACACATACACACCCATATATATATATATATATATATATACACATACATATACATTTATACATATACATATAGAAATCTATAAATGCACTCAACCATTCCCTAACACTCCATTTTTTATTGCCATTAAATAAATGAATTAACTGACTCATTAAGCACGAGTTGTACAAATTCATTTATACTACTTACAAAACCGAGGTAGTGGAGGTTAGCTAATGGCAAAGGCCGTGATTAGCTCTCACGCGCCGGCTCTGTACTCGCTTACCGTGATTCAGTTCAATGGCAAATGGGTTTACATATATATATCTATATATACCCAGTGTTTGTGGTGCCAACGGTTGGAAGCGCTTTTTAGCCGTTAGATTGATGATGACTAATTAAAAAAGAGGCATTGTTGCAACAAATCAAATGGTTTAGGGGGCTTTCAGTCTTTTTTTTTGTTTTTGTTTTGTAGGGAGGTACTGTGCCAAAAATTGAAAGTGAATGGTGGGTTTTATGCAATTTGCCCTCTATTCTACCATTCTCAATATATTTAAACATTCTGTTGGAATTGAACATTCCATAGATGAGAATAGATAATCCGTTATGTACTGTACATAAATTTCAGTGGATATAGAATACGACACTGTATTGATACCAAATACCATAGCCCTAGAAAAGCACCATGTCTTCCTGATCAATGCATTCAAGCCCCTTAAGCAAACCATGCTTCCTTAGTCCAGATGCCATGGGCGTCTTAAATAAAATCTGTTTCCCGATTCAAGTACGAGTCTTTCAACTTAGCCACACTTCGGTCCATTCTTTCGTCTCTTACGACAATCTCTACAAACCCTATGAGGAAAAAAGAAAAAAAAAAAAAAAAAAAAAATGTAGACAAAACCCATCTCTCACAAGACTACATATTTTCTAAATTTTTCATTCTCACAAGTCTCAACCAATCACCCCACTAGCTACCTACCTATAAGTCATAGCATACGTTTCTTGTTGGAAAAGAAAACTATACCCCAAGCAATACACTCAAAAAAAGAACTTTTCTAAAGAAAACAACTCTAAAATGGAAACTAAACCACAACAGGAATTTCAAACAATTCCAAAAAGGCTCCACCTTGACTTAAATTACATCAAGCTAAGAACTTGTTTTCATATTATGATTAACCTTGTTGTGCCAGAACTAAATTAGATCAGGCAAAATTTACTCTTAAAAGCAGCTGCAAGCGACAAATGTAATAGATGGCATGTATGGTTAGATATTTGACCTAATAAACTCCCATATCTATATACTATGTACAAAATCAAAGTTTCAAACAAGCTTAAGAATGGCCGCCAAATGTGCAATCTTCTGAGAGTTTCAAATAAAGGAAAATTGGCAAGCAGAAATGCGTGTCTATGCACAATTTTTGTGTGTGGACAGGTCCGAAGAAGAAAGAAACTCGTTTAAAATAGCCATCTATTTGCCATATCATGACCAAGACAATACTTCAACAATGGCCCCAAGAATCAATACATTATTTTATAATTGAGACAAAAGAGATCAAATGAGAAAAAATAAAAATAAAAACTCACAAATGCATAAAGAATACAAGACTTTGTGTGTATGTGCGAATGCGTGCGAAGGAAAGAACCAATGATGGTACAAGAAACCAGAATGATTTTGGTTCGAGTAAAAGAATTATCTTCTCATCTGAGGGAAAACAGAAATGATTTAACTAAGTACTTGCATCATTGCATTTCACATACATTTCTAAGAAAAACATCGACATCCACGCTCAAAGATGTTCTTATTGGCTAACATATACGTAATTGTCAATGTCAGATGAATATAAATTGAAACCACCACCGTGCCCAACTCGAATAAATTATTGAGAAATATCTGAAAATCTGAAATTCAAAATAAACTTTGAAGACCCAATATTTTCTGGGTTTCATTCATTTTAATCATAAATCTATTTTCCGTCCTTTCCGTAACATTCTCAATAGAAATTCGCCTCGATCTGGTCTTCGCTTTCACTCACAAAGACAGAGAGAGACGAACATGTATGTATATATATGTAATTGTACAGAGATACATATATGTGTGTGTGTGTAAGGATTATATACATACCTTGAAGCAGTTCTGGTTGTGGTTCTTTCTTGATCGTTACCTCGATGTGATCTATGAATTCTACGATGGATTTCCCTTTCTAACCGAACTTGTAGTAACTGAGATGAGGAGAGAGAATTGGAATCCAGGAAATTGTAATTTGACTAAAAACCCAATATTTGTTAACGAACTACCTACTAAACCATCACTTTTTAAATTACGTTATTGCCCCAAGTGGACCCCACTGAAGTCTCTCTATTTGCGTTTTTGGTAATGTCTCTTTCAAGTATTTTTCACTTATTTAACCAAAAACAGGAATAAAATTTTGATTTTTATAAAAACAGGAATAATATTTATATGCCTATGTGTCTCATCATACATGCATAACAGGTATATCAGTATTTAATGTATTACTATAACTTTATATAATAATTATTTTAATTAAATGTTGATACAACTCAATTTGTAAATACACCTTTATCGGTTTGCATATGCATATGTCTTATAGGGTGAAAATCACTCCAGTGAAATAGTGAGCTATTTACTCCATTTTGAAATGAGTGGTCCAGAAACGACCACGTCACTCATATTTGTGATGCATAGGAAAATACTGGGATGCACAGTAAGAAAATGTTGGGGTGCAACTTACGAAAAATGTTGGAATGTACTTTTACTTACAAAAATGAAAGAAATGAATTACTGTGTAACTGGAGCTGATCCTTATCCATGTCTTATGATGATAGCTGCATGCGATGAATCTAGAGAACTATGTACAAGTTTACGAAACTTTACACAAGTGTCGAGAGTTATACAATGTCTTGCTATGACAACTATTTATGTAACTATTAGTTTGCGTGCTTACGTGACATGACATACTGTCATTATAAGCTATGCACTTTTATGACATTTGTGTTATATAACCTCTCAAAGCGGGACGTTAGGTTATACATGTTCATATGTTTATATATAGTAGGCATGTGAATTAATATATCCCTTCAATAAAGTAGCATAATCTTTATTTTTCTTTCTTTTTATTATGTTAATTAGCTTTAAATTTTTAATATGCAATAATATCATATATTTATCGAATTATTAGAGATAAAATTTAAAGCAATAAATATCATTTGTTCACACTTTTTAAGTATACAAGGAATTAGTAATAAAGTTTAAAGTATCATTTGGATGGTACAAATAAATTACTTTGAAAAGAAGCAAAGGGGTTACTACTTTATTTTCTTGAAAGCAAACAAATTCTTACTTTTCATACTAAAAAACTTGCTATCTACTTTATTCCTGGTGTGTGATCCTCGATGAATTCGGATCTCCTTGCGTTGAGAGAATTTTGTGCGCATTTTGCGCACATATGTATAGGGCACAGGATTCGAAGGCTATTCTCAATCGCCACCATTCATGTGTGTTTATACAATAATTTATCGTATTTAATACGTAACATATCAGTCGATATGTGATTTTTTTTTTCACGTTCGATATGTGACTCGTATTGATAAATTTACACTAACTTTGTTCGACCGCGATCGTAACTGGTGCTGCGAATTATGATTTGCACATATATATACAAAAATATGTAGAAATGTATACATACATATGTATATTTGTGCACCTATATCACATATTAACTCTTACATATATGTCTCTTTAAAACCTCCCCCAAATATACATACATATGTATGTTTGTGCACCTATATCACATATTAATTCTATTTTCAATTGCATGCACTTGCAAAATGTTTTATGCATGCAGCATGTCTATACATATTCGTACAATTTTATACAATTATATCTTCACTTATATAGTTATACTCACATGTACTTTTACATGTTCATATACATCATTATATGCAATTATGTATACTTTTTGTATATATACACATATAAAAAATACATACCTATAAAATATCAATTTCAAGAATAAATTCACTTTTAAAAGATGGTTGCTAACTGGTACCTTAAGTTTTATCCGGGCAAGGTGTACCTTATTACAAGAATAAATGAGAACAATGTCTTTAGAAATTTGTTCGTTATTTCCAAAAATGAGCAAGTCCAACTTGTATCCATAATTTTCTCTTCAAATTTTGAAAATGTCATGATCCTAAATAAAAGATTGTGGTCTTTTGGCAAAGTCCATCTCAGAATTATTTAAAATGTTTTTTTTTTTTTTTTTTTTTAGAATTCTACAAAAGTTAGTTATGGAGAAAATCAAGGAAGTGCTAAGAATTATACTCACAATGACCAAGAGCTTAAGAAGAAAAAAAAAATTTAAAATAACTCTCTGGACCGCATATAAAATAGTAATTTTTTAAAACCCAATATTTGGTAACACCCGTGGAATAAAGTTTTGCTAGGAGTAATAACTGAACACTAGCATTTTCAGAACTTTAAATTTTTTGGGCAGGAACAGATTCAAACATGTTGATTTTTACCAATATAGTATAAAAAAAAAGAAAAAAACAGATTTTCACACAATATTTAGTTTTATGATTCCTTAATCGAGAGGACGGATGCGTTTAGCCCCAACTATGAATAGATATTTAGTGTGCCTAGTATATTGTGTACCGTACTCATCCGAATCGTAAATATTATATATATTCTTAGACATATATTATATACGTATGATTCAAATAAACTTGATGCACCATAGACCGGACACAAATCCGTTATCACACACCTACAGAGGGCTGAAATGTGTTTTTTGGGTAGGGGGGGTTTTGGGTTCAATGGTTCAATAGCCTGCCCATGTGGGCCATGTTTGAAAGGTAAGGGCATTTCCGTCATTTAAACCAGTTAACAAAACTGTTGGGGTGCGAGAAGCTTTATTGGGAGTGCAAGTAGCGTATCCTTTCAAAAAAAAATCAGAAGAAAAATGAAGAATTTCGATCTTCCTCACCGAAAATTTCCCCCTCGTCTCACTTGAAACTTTTCAACGTCTCTGTCTTGGACTGTGGCTAATGAGCAAAAAAAGGCAGAGATGGGAGTGAAAAACCTATGGGATATATTAGAACCCTGCAAGAAAATTCTCCCTCTTCACCATCTCCAGTAAGTTCGTTGTACCATTTGCTAATTTCTCACATACACAGACTGACACACACACCCACACCCACACCCACACCCATTTTTCTCTCTCTTTTACTGTTCAAATTTCAAACCTATACTTTGTGTATTATTTATACAAAACCCATAAACACTGTATAGACACACACACAATATTGTACATAATTTGTTTGTTTTTCATTACCGGGTACAAGGAACAAGAGGGTGTGCATAGATCTGTCATGTTGGATTGTCCAACTTCAAAATGTCAACAAGTCACACTGTTCCATGAAGGACAAGCTTTATCTCAGGGGTCTCTTCCACCGCATCAGAGCCCTCATTGCTTTGAATTGTAGCATCATCTTTGTCACAGGTATCATGGCTTTACCCTTTTTACTCACATTTTATTATTTTTTTCTCATTTGCTGACAAGTTTTTATCTTTTTGTTGCAATTGCAAATGGGTATTGTGTGATTGTGGAAATTCTTATTCGTTCTTTATTAAATTCCTTGCATTTCAAGTTATGGTACCTGGACTTGTGTAGTGTATCCGGTGCGGGTGTGTATCCTGGTGTCAGACATAACAAATCCCCAAACGAAGGCTAAATATTCATCTTATATAATTTTTTTATTTAATTTTATAGAGAATTAATTTCTTTATGTGACAGTGCTTGATATAGGCATTTCACTCGTTTTGAAACAATAATATAATAAAATTAAATCATTGGGTATTCTTTTAAGGTGCATGTCCATTGTCCCCAAAAGTATCAGGCACGTGTCCCATTCCCATGTCCGAGTATAAGTGTCCAACATGGATAGTTGAACTACTTTTGAAAATTCCATGTAACATAGGTTAGTGTCCAACACGGGTACTTGAACTGCTTTTGAAGATTCCATGTAACATAGGTTTCAAGTGATAATTGTGCTGATTTTAGCTTATCAAACTTCAGCTTCAGTTGTTATATATTGTAATTTGGGTTATTAGGGACAAGAGGGATGGTTTTTTAGCTCAATATATCAATCCATGACATTTATTATCTTTGTTTTAGTCTTCTTGATATTCTATAATAATAGATGACAAAAATTTGATAATTTGGGCAATCCTCGCGGAGTGACAGATGGATCCATTCCAGCTATAAAAATATCTGCCTATAGACAGCGCTTAAAATCGAGAAGTGAGGTGAGATTCTTATAACTCAATCTTCACATTGTTTTCCATCTTTGTGTTCCCATTTTTATTTCACATCATGCCTTGCTAACCTTAGTCACTCTTTCAAGACAGGTCACTCGAGATGAAACAAATTCTCAAAATGTGACTTCACTTCGAAGAAATATGGGATCTGAGTTTTCTTGTATGGTAAAAGAGGCGAAAGTCCTAGGCATGGCACTTGGTATTCCGTGCTTAGATGGGTAATCACGATGATAGTGGTAGAATTTTCATTTAATTTTCACTTAAATAATTCTGGTTAACAGTGGTTCTTATCTTTTATAGGGATATATTATTTTTGTTTGTCATTGAAATAATGCGCATGCTACGTGCTACACTGGACAGTGACAAATCTTATTGTATCTTTTCTCTTTTGTTTTTAATTAAAAAATTGACATTTTCTTTTGCTTTATATAGGGGAGAACAAAACAAAACAAAGAGTAAATATAAGATGAAATGTTGCATATGAAATGGAAATATTCAATTATAGACCTTTGGTCCATTGCATTAACTTGAAAGTTCTGGAGTATGAACTTTTTGATTCCTGAGTTTATTGGCTATTCCCCTCCTTGTGTAAGGTCTTTTCAGGTTAGTGGTTCAAATTTTGAGCTGGACAAGTTGATTTTTTTAGAGGGCTTCTTCACTTCTCCCATGGCGGTGTATTTAGGTAGACGGGAAGAGTGGAATGTTTGAAAATTTATACTATGAAGGAAGTTTTTGGCTTTGGTGTCAATTGATTTTACAGGAATGTCTTTGTTGGGCTTTTTGTACGATGTAGCTCCTTGTGGCTCCAATTGTTTCTACATTTTTGTCTACCTCATGTGCATGTTTGAGCTTGCCTCTAAATCTTTTGAATGCAAAATTGATTATTATATAAAAGGAAATGCAACACTGTGGACAAGGTATCATCATGATATGCAGTCAGGCACACCATTGGAAAAACGTTCTTGCTAGAATGATTTATTAGAAGTTTGTGTTAGCTTATGATCTGATGGTTGAAAAAACTACAAAGAGCGCATCCAAAGGGATGAAATATGGGCATCCTAAATTGTATTTATTTCTCTCATCATTTTCTCTGTCTTTGGCACATTTATTGGGACACCTGCTTGACAATTTTTGGACATCATTTCTGGGCTTACAATCTTTTAGTTCCAAGTAAGGGTCAAATCTTTTTACTTTCTTCTATGACCCAGTTGTTCATGCACATTGGTAGTCATTGACCCTTGTACTGCTGGCGTTAGAGCTTAAATTTGCTTTTTTGGGAGCTTGTTTGGCACATCTTGGTGGCGTGGTTGAGATGTAAGTAATGGCAGATGCTATAAGTTTATAACTAGCATATAAGTGCTGTCCTTTATAAAATGCTCTTAATTGATAGAAGTTTTTCACTCCGATGGCTTTTTCTCTCAAGAAGTGTAGTAAATTTCATTTCGATTTTTATTCTTACAATCACTTCATTGAACTCATTTCAGTCAAAAGTCAAGCTTCACTATTTCTCCAACAGAAATTAAAAGAGCACAAGCATCTCGAAACAGTAGATGAAATCTGTTTGGCGGTCCCTTGAACTGGTCATCTATGTGGTGTTATACTTGTCTTCTTTTTCCCCATGTGCACTGTAAAATAGCACCAGTCGTGGAACTAATTTCCTGCTTTTCATAAGATTTATAGCAAAAACTTGTTAGGTGACATATGGACAAAATATTTATGGCTGTAAATTAATTAATAAATTTTCAAATATTTGCAGTTCTTTCAGGAGTTTGAGCAAAAAGTTGATTTTACAATATATCGTTTGCAATGTTTTGAGGCTATAATATTCCTATGCCTTTCATGCTTTAACAACCCCTTAATGTTCCAAAATTTTGAACGAATGCATTGGCACCAAATGCCTTTTTTCTGCTTTACAACATAGGAAGTTTCTAATTTTGTGTTCTTTTGGAGTAACAAGCACTTGTGAAAACAAAATTTTGCTTTAACTTTGATGCTATGAAGATCTGAATTTGACTAGACTTTCACCAATGTTGTTTGAGTAATCATCTTAATTAGAGAATGATGACTAATAAAAAATCAATATCATAGAATAACAATCTAAAGTAATTTCTGAAATAGTTTTTTTATCCCCTTGGAACAATATTCAGGATTGAGGAAGGCGAAGCTCAGTGTGCCTTACTAAACTCAGAATCATTATGTGTAAGTAGAAGCCGTCATCTTCAAATTTTGTTGGGATTATCTTAATATAATTGGCACCATCTTATTAATATTGTTACTTTTCTTATCTTATGATCGTCAGGATGGATGTTTCTCTTTAGATTCCGATGTCTTCCTGTTTGGTGCAAGGACAGTATATAGAGATATTTGCCTTGGTGAGTAGATGGGGTTCTCTCTGGCTTTTTCTCTCTTAGATCAGAATATTTGTCTATATTTGACTCCTTTTTCTGGTTTACTTATGATGCTGTCTACTTGCGTATGATTTAGGGGAGGGTGGTTATGTTGTTTGCTATGAAATGGCCGACATTGAGAAAAAACTTGGCTTTGGAAGGAACTCCTTGGTAATTTTCGTTTTGACTTGGAAAATTACTGATAAAATGATCTGTATAAAAATTAATCACTTCAATACATCAGACATTTTTCCTTCTGTTATTTTTTAAAAGATGATTTATTAACAAAATTTTAATCCTGATTATTTGGGGGAGAGAATGTGGGATTCACCAACAAAGCAAATTTATCTTGTTTAATTGTGTTAATTTTCTCTCAATGAGCTCTCTTTGTGTACTGCATTGTTTCAGTGCATTTCAAGATTAGAAAATAGACTGATTTCTAGGAATTACTGCTCCTTGAAGCTACTACGATAGCTTTAAATTATCATGCACATATGTCATGTTTCATTCGTGTGTCTATCTTCTGTATTACGTGGTACGACAGGAAATATTACTTGTGAGTTGTGGCATCTGAACAGCACATTTTCTCCCCTTGTATTATGCTTTCAACTAGATGGGGTCTACCTAAAATAAATCCTAAGTTTCAGTTTGTAAATGTATACCACAGGATTGTGGGTTGTTTCTCAATTAACTAGTCTGCTAACTTCCTAAATGATTTACAGATTACTCTGGCCATCCTTCTTGGCAGTGATTACTCTCAGGGGCTTCATAGGCTTGGCCCGGTACGTTTGGATATCCTGTTACTTCTCAGATTGGCTGGAAAGCCTGGAATACTTTTTATTCTTTAATTGAACAATCCTTTCTGATCTGAAATGGGTTGGGGTCGTTGATGCTTATGCTGTAGCATATATATATATATATATATATATTTCCATGACTGCAGGAGTCGGCATGCCAGATTGTTAAATCAGTTGGTGACAACGTCGTTCTTCAAAAAATGGCATCACAGGGATTGTCATTTGCAAAGAAGTCAAAGGGATCAAGGAAACAGGGGCCTGCTTCCAGATGCAATAACAAAGAGAACTGTTTGGATTATGAAATGAATAATAACAGTGAGTCAAACAAAAGTTCAGACCAGTAAATATTATAATGTGGCTTGCATTTACTTCGATCTGTTGGTTTTTCAAAGAACTTTGTGAATTCACTTGACGTTATTATGTCTAGATTATATATATTTTTTTGATTGGTAAATTTTTTTGAAAGACCGCTCAAAAAGGGGAGCGAAGCCCTAGGACAAAGCAAGGCCAAAAAAGCCTTAAGCCTTCAAAGAGGCCAAGAAAACAACCAACTCCTCTACAGATCGAAAATCCCTCCCTGAAACCCAACAAAAAAAAGTGGAAAGAATAAGGAACTTGAGCATAGAGATAGGCTTTTCCTTTCCATCGAAATATCTTTGATTTCTCTCAATCCAAATACACCACCAAACACAAAGAGACGTAACCCTCCAAGCGTCCCGATTGAGAGCCCCCATAGAAAAATCTCTCCAAGCCTCAATCAAACCTCTAGTGGATCTAGGCATAACCCACGGGATCCCAAACAGCCCAATCACCAAATCCCAACAGTCCCTAGCCATGCTGCAATGAAGCAGAAGGTGATCAATAGTTTCCTCATCACGCAAACACAAATAACATCTATTAATCACCACCTGATTCCTCCTCCTCAAATTATCCTGGGTTAAAATCCTACCCAAGATAGAAGTCCATGCAAAGAACGCCACCTTGAGGGGGGCCTTGGATCGCCAAATAGACTTCCAAGGGAAAAGGCCTCCAACGCCAACTGTAAGACATCTTGGAACGCCATCTTGGATGCTTGATTTTTTTTTTTTTTTTTTTGATAAGTAATCTTGGATGCTTGATTTAGTATTAACATATTTAATGAAATGAATTATAAAAGAGTCATAAATCCAGTGAAGTATTGCAATTAAGTTTAGTAACTATTTTGTGGAGGCTGACAGGGCTGAGAGTGTGAGTTTGAGGTTTAGAGTTGTCACTTCATGCAAAATAATGCCAAAAAGGTTAGACAATTGGGTTTGTCTCTAAGCAAGCCTCTCAACACCTTATGTAACTGGGATATAGCTTTTTTGGAACTATTTCATTGAATGCTTGTAATTCATTAGAAGCTGCAATCCTTATACCTCAATGTCTTATCTTGATCTTAATATTAAGGGGAGAAAGATGTGATATTGATACGTTCTTAATTTTTTCATGAGAGTAGTTTTATTTATTTATTTAGTTTTTGGTTCAAACATACAACATAAGAACCTGTCTACCATTTAAAAATATATATATATAAAACGGAGAAGTCAAGGATTTAGAAAGCTCATTCAAGCCAAAGCAGATGTGTATGGAACAACCATGAAGTCGAACTCTTTTTGTCTATAGGTCTTTTATGCATATGGAAATCCACTTAATTTAATAACAAAATAAGTATCTGATAAGTATAGGATCGTAACCCTAGACATAGATGTAGAGTTACTGAGAGGTCCGTGATCTAGACCTAGAGAGGAGGGGAATAGATCTTGATAGCAAAATTAACCAACTTTAACTACTTTTTGAGTCTTATCTAAATTACCAACCATTTAAAAACTAAAGTAACTCAATAATAATAATCTTACTCATCCCATCATGCAATTAAACATGTCATCAACCAAACACACAAAATATAAGCTGTGAAATAAAAGCACAATGGATACAAAGATTCTTTACATGGAAATCCCAAGGGGAAAAATTACAGGATCTAGTCCAGTCTAAACAAATCCACTATGAGTAAGAGATTTACATTAGGTTAAAAGTTCCAAAACCTTAGAGCCCCTTGTTATCTCTTGACATAGGCTGATCCACCAAACTCTTCACTCGAGTCTCCAATAACACAGTTCGCTCTGCCAACGGATCTTCTCCACAGGATCTGTTTCTCCTCAAGAACTCTGACCTTTGGTCCAGTCGTTCAATCCAATCTCGATTGAGTAATAGACTAGTGTTGAACTTTGAGTAAGACAACAACAATAGATGATCCAGACATATATGCTCGCTCACCAATCTAGGATGAATGATAAATGAAAAAAAAAAATCCTTGCTAGAAAAACACTCTGAAAGAAATTATATGACAACTATATGATGCATGCATTCTCAGAATACATCACTATGTGTATTAGGTTTTCTGAACACTAGATGTATTCATAGAGAATATAAGTCATATAAGATTTTGAGAATTTTTATCTCAATTTCTGCCAGGCTCGATCAATCAAGCAGAGTGTAAATCTAACCAGTCCAGAGAGCTCCGACTCATCCTTCAACTGATTGGAAGCTGCCTGCACTTTATACTTGTATGTTCTGATGGTCAGCTAAGATTTTTCTGGATCAAACATGAAATCTGTGAAACCCTAGATGATGAGTGCATGAACTGAATTGGTGAGCGCATATACAAGTGTCAATATTTCCTTTATACCCTTGATCACATAGATTACCTTTTCATCCTTGTATTTAGCTTCAATCTCAATTCTGTCCCTGGACAAGAGGTAACTAACTTGACACTAAAGTTCTTCCAAAATTTAACTAAAAACAAAAATAAAGCTTACAAGCTGAGTCTTGGACATGGAATTTGCCAACCTAAATCCTATTGGCACAATAGTAAAAATATGAACATTAAATTTACATCAAATTGACTAGAAAATATGCCATTACCTCTAGTCAGGTAAGAGTCCAATTCATGCACATGTTTTATGATGAGTTCTGGTTACATAACTGCAATGCTTTAGTGATAGCTTAGCGTTGCCAGAAAAGGATTGAAAGAAGAAAGCTAGCATTTATATGTTCTGATGGTCAGCTCCGATCTTTGGTTGTCTGAGATGAACTAGTGCAGCTAACTAGTATTTTATGGTTGTTTTGCTAGCAATTGTACATAATTCACAAAGGAACAATCAGTTCCTGCAAGTGATTGACGCATATTTGAAGCCCAAGTGCCACTCAGCAGACTCTAATGCTGTGAACAGGTAGAGTAAAATGCTTCAGATTTTTATTTTTATTTTTATTTATTTATTTATTTTTTTGGTACTTTCGCTATTTTCCACAATATGAGAGGGCTATAGGATTGTAAGTTTACTCATAGAGAGGGAGGGAGTATGAGAGTTTTATTTTAACTAAATTAAATCTTGTAGGGTTCTTGCTCTGTATCCATTTCAACGCTCCAAAGTTCAGCAGCTATGTGCTCAGTTTTTTGAGTGGCCTCCTGAGAAAACAGGTCCGTTCTTCCTCTGCTCTCGATCTTAAATATGGATTTATCATATTTTTACAGAAAAGGGTAAAGTACAGCCACACTCCCTGAGGTTTGGCAGAAGGACACATAGAGGAAACTTATCAGTTTTTAGGACAATGACACCCCCTTGAAAAAACTCCATCCAAACAAAGCCTTAAGTCATATGAAAAGACAAAATTGCCCCTTACTATAAAATTTTAATTTTTTTTAAAATATCAGACCTATCAAAATGATGCAATTACCCCTAAAAGTTTAGGGCCACCGACTGAACAATGAGGCCTTTCTCAGATTAGGAAATAGATCCCATGCCCTTGTCTGGTTGCCTTACAAGCCATGAAAACACACATTCGGGATTAGTAAACTTGGCCGCATAGAGGCTGTTGGGTAGGGGCGGGGAGCGAGGGGTGCTAGCCAGGGGGACACTGGCCGGAAGAGGTTTAGAAACCAAGCAACCAGAGACCGACAAGCAGAAACGATCCGGCGAGGACCAAGCTCCGACGACGACAAGGTTCAGATGAGCACAGTCCGGCGAGTACCAAGCTCCGATGACGACAAAGGTGGAGGCCGGGGCGGGGGCGCTGCCGCCCGCAAGCACAACATCCACTCCACATTCAACCCGCCGCTCCCGGAAGTCGTCTCTTGGTCGGTAGCGCTGGCCCTCACAATCGCTGAGAACATAGAAATGCACAGCGGTGTTTGCTCTGGTGAGCACAAAGATCCGACGAGAATAAGGCTGTGAACTGGTGAAAGCAAATACAGCACATGGCTAGCACCGGCTGTGATGTGCTTCGGTGAGCACAACGAACTTCACGCCTTGGCGATGCTCCAGTGAGCACAGTCTGTCTTAATCTTTTGAAAGGAGGAAAGTTGGCCCTCTGATTTGCGTTTTTGAATTTATGATGCCTACAACTCAGTTCGTTCTTTCCACTGATGTACCCTGCCATAGTTTTGTTGCCTTTTAGTGATCTATGCAAAATAATGGAGAAAGGACAAAAATGAAGTGAAAATATCAGAATATATATATTACTCCGTATATATGCAGTAGTAATGTGATTGTTTACTTTCCAAAAAAAAAAAATAATGTGATTGCTTTAATCAACATGAAGAAAGTTTTATTTTATATTTTTAATTTTTTTTTTTACTGGAAAGTTGAACAAAACAGAAGCACACAAATATTTTTATGAACTAGCATATAATTGGACTCCAATGGGAGTAATTTGTCAGGGAACTGTAAGTTTCATGAACTAGCATATAATTGGAAATGGTCCTTTGCTTGGTTTTATTTATCCTGGATATTGAAATTGAGGTCTTAATTTGATGCATAGTTTGGTTTTGTACTTAGTTTTGTTTCTAGATTGATTTTCCCGGCATTAATACAATGATGAATTTGCATTTTTATTGCAAACTAGGGTTCATATATTGAGAATTTTTGTGGGATATACACATATATATATATATATATATACACACATATATTCTATATTGGCTGTAGGTATAAATTGTTCATAAGGGTAGTTTTGTCCAATTTATTAACTTATAAAAGTTAAAAAGGTCAATTAAATGGTCAAAGGGCAATTTGGTCAATTTTCTATACCAGTTGGCTTCAAGGGGTGTCTCTGTCCACTTTTCAATCTTCAAGGGGTGTGTCCCAAAATCAGCTAAGTTTCATTTGTCTGTCTTTTTGGCAAACCTCAGGGGGTGTTGCTGTACTTTACCCTACAGAAAATATAAGACATTCATTAAAATGTATCCGAATTCATGGATTTTGTTTGACTTAAATATCTTTAATGCTATATCCTAGTTTTTTATCTGGTTTATTGACACATCGATATATAAAGTAGTCCCTGATTATAATGCTTCTAGTCTTGGGGACTGTGATAGCAGCATGGACAAATTTTGTTTTGGACTATTATAACCACTGTTAATATTTTTTCCTCTTGTTAAGTGATTAAATGGAACATATAGGTGCAAGGTAAAAGGTAAGAGGTAATTGATCAGGAGTGCAATTGACGAGTCAATACGGTAGAGGCATGTTTATTTCGGTCTTGCACTGTTATTGCTCTTGATGGAAACTGAAACAGAATGTTGAAATCAAGTCTTTAATTTTAGGTCTGTTGTCATCATTGAGATTTCAGAGTTCCAAGACCAAGCAAAAACATATACATAATAATATTATTCTGAAATTTAAAACCATGGGCGAGTAGGGAAATCTTATCTATCAAAGATTTGAATTTGAAGCACCATAGTATGTCCCACTTGATACATCATAATCCTGTTAATGGGAAGTATGTTATGTCATTTTCATATTTGGTAGCTTGTTATGATATGTGGTCCAGATGAATATATCCTTCCTAAGATTGCTGAAAGAGACTTGAGGCGATTTTCCAATTTACGTGCTACTTCATCGGAACTAGGACTTCGGCTTCCTCTGGATAAGGTACTACTCTGTTGACAGATATTTGATCCTGGAATTTCTTTAAGTATGATTTATTAAACTTGTATCTTTTCTGATATAATTTAGTTGTTTCATTTCTAAAAGTTAAAACTTGTTTTGCAAGCTTTTCTAGAGTTCAGTGCTTGATTGGACATTCCAAAAAAATTTGAAAATGGGTTCAAAATGGATGTTTCTCTTTTGGTATGGAGCCAGAACAACCTTCTTTCCCTACCCATTTTTTTTTTTTTCTTTCTAAATAGATAATGGAAATTGCTGAACTTAGCTAATGATCCGTCCATCTATAAAACCAAACATTAACTTCAGATATTTGAGGGTACAAGTAAAAGAGAGGATATCTTGGTCAAATGTCACGGGACTAGTTGATTATAGCTCGATCTAATGGCACTAGTGTGAGGCATGTAAACCTATGAACTAGTAAGGGATGAAGTTTATACATAATGAGATACGATTTCTTGTATTGTTGCAAATTGAATGTATATGATTAACAAGCTGGACCTAATGACCTATATAATTTCTACAAATATCCGCTCATATTTTCTAAGATATGCTGTCTATATATTTTTCTTGATATATCAATTATATGCAGACATAATTTATTCAAATGAACTCATTTTTGTTCTGGTATGTCATTTTCTGATAGCAAGTTTCTTAACCTTGATATGGACTGCAACTTTTTTGCAAGTACAGATGCCGGTTAATTGTCCTATATCCGGAATTATCAAACAAAGAAAACTTCAGGGAAGAGAATGCTTCGAGGTTTCATGGGAAGAAATTGATGGACTTAAAACTTCTGTAGTTCCTGCTGATCTCATTGAAAGGTAATTATACTATCAATATTTGCCTAGCTGCTACTTTTATAGTAGTAACACGGAATTAATTTTATTTTCTTTTAAAGGAGTTTATAGGCACATTAAACAATTTCTAGTAGGTAAATGCTCCCTCTTCATTAATTCGTGATTTCTGGTTTCACGGTGTCATTATATTTTTATAATTACCATTCAAGTATATGATCTCTCTGCCACCTCAAATTGGAATTTATATGATGCTGTTTTGTTTTGCTTTTCTCAGGATGAAAATCCCATAGAAGCTTTTTCCATTTTATTTGTCATTTTGAAGCGGTGAAAAACACAGCTTATCGCTAATAAAGCCTAGGATTTATAATCTGCAAACAATTTTCTCATACTTGGTTGAACAAATATAATTGTGTAGTAAGTTAGCTCTCATTTTTAGTACTGTTTAATGACTGCTTGGAATATGGTACCCCATAAACAGTAGCTGGCCTAGGAGTTTCCTTCAATTCGATGGGTATTTATCTATCACTCAACACTGCTGAAGTAGTTTTCTCCACTTGTATATCTGAATGCCACAGATGGTTCAATGACAAGTAGCTCCTTTAGTGGTTCCAGATGTTGGAGCAACTTTCAGATGATCTTTTTTAATGTGCCTGGTGAAATAGGAATGCGAAACAAAACATAACTTATAAATCTAAATGATAGTGGTTTCATCCATCTGCTCTTATAAAACATATCTCTCACACTTGCACTAGAAGATGTAAAAAAGGGCTAGCCCAGTGCATGGCTCCCGCCAGTGTATGGTCTGAGGAGGGTCAGATGTACGCAGTCTTACCTTTGTACGGAGAGACTGTTTTTGGTTTCGAACCTGTGACCTCCAGGTCACAATGGAGCAACCTTAATCATTGACATTGAGGAATATCCAGAAAAGCTTTTCGGGATTCGGTCTGATTCTATCTCTGTTAGTGGTAGGTTATTTTTTATATTGACAGGATGGAACCATAATTTTCAATAATAATAATTTTACCTTCCCCCTTCCACCAGTGCTTGTCCCGAAAGAATTCTGGAGTTTGAGGAGAGGAGAGCTCAAGGGAAGAAACCAAAACCAAGACGGAAAAAAACAGAGGACAGAACATCCATGAAAGACATTGATCTAAAGCTCCAAGAGTTGTTGCTTGACATCGAACAAGGAAGCAGGATCACTCATAAAGCTTCTTTATTGACTGGAGCAATACCAGCAAAAGAACATGCTGTCGCTGCAGTTGATCTAATGAATCAGGAGCTGTTGCATGGTACAGAGTCAAAAGGCAGCATCAAAAGAAATGATTCCATCAGTTACTACCCAGCAAGTTCAAGTGTTGCTGAAACTGAGGTCATCGATCTCCTGAGTCCGCTTCCCCCTAATATTACAAAATGTGAAAAACCTACTGTACAATGTATTGATGTGATTGACTTGGGCGACTCAGAAATTGAAACATCACCGGAACATGCAAGGAAGGCGAGAGAGCTTAGATTGTTCTTAGCCAGCATCGAAAAGGCATCTCTTGACTGACTATGAAAGAAGAATATGTAAATTAGGTCTTTCAATATTACACAAGCATGCAAAGCTGTTCATTTTCTACGAAGGATGGCTAGAATAAAATGGCTGCTCTAGTGTAACAAAGAAGCCATTTAAACCTATTGTATGGTATTTGAATCGAGTCAACTAAGATTATTTATTTGCACTCATGCAAAGTCGATTGATAGAATGGGTTTTTCATAGAGTTGATTATATCAACCAAGCTCTGGGTTGAAATGTAGTTTTTTCAAACCACCAAAACAACATAAGTTCAAAGAATTTCAACAGATTGCTTAATTAAAAAGTAAATTGGTGAAATCAGCTATCTATCAATTTTTTTTTTTAAACCGCAAGTTGGAGATGCAGGATATGCTAAAGGTACAAAAACACATAATACACTTGCATTTGCTCAAAAGTGTATTTGGATCTATCCAATTTCCTGTTATGAGTTCATATAGAAGAAAACTACATACTAGCATTTGTGAAATCACAAGAGCATATCATTTTTATAGAAGTTGACCACTATCACAAGTGTAATTTTAATCCGGAAAGAATAGTGTCTCTACCAACGTACAGCAAATGCAAATGACAAATGGGAAAGGAGATTCTAACATTGTTTACACATTTCTCGCAGAGAATAACCCTTTGATGTTGCGGGAAGGGACATTAAAGGTTTTACCACTTTAAGCCACATCAAGGAAGATGGGAGGTCATACGAGAAATGGGATCAGGTCATCTGTGGCTCTGACTAAAATGGGATGGTTGCGGTGGTCTAAAAGTTGGTGTGGTAAAAGAGAACTGGGATTGGGAACTACGGTAGTCTGGATCACCGGGAAATTTTTCAAGTGAACCAAGATTCAAGGACTGGGTTCGGTTAGAATATTCATAAGATGAATGAAAGCCGCTCACACCCTTTGAATCAGTGACACTTGAGACAACAGGAGGGGTAAAATTTAGGACCTCACTTTTAGGAAGGTGATTGCAATGCCCCAAGTAGAGGGAGGAAGGAGACAAACCCACACCCTCACTTTTCGGAAAGGAGGCCTCAGCTCCCGGCAGCATCAGCCCAGGTGTGGCAAAATATGACTGGAATCCAGAACTTGGGTAGTCCGGATCACCAGGAAATTGTTTAAGAGAACCAGAGTCCAAGGATTGGATTTGGTTAGGTTGTTTGCCAGATGAATTAAAGCTGCTTACATTCTTTGAATCACGGAGGCTTGAGACAACAGGAGGGGGGAAATCTGGGGCCTCACTTTTATGAATGTAACTATAACACCCCGCATAGATGGAGGAAGAAGGCAAGCCTAAGCCCTCACTTCTAGGGAAGGAGGTTTGAGCTCCTGGTAACATCAACCCTGGTGGACCTAGCAAACCTGTCTGACTCAGTACAGTTAAAGGAACTGCTGCGGGGCCAGTGTACATTGGAAGGCCCGAGCCCTCACTTATAGGGAAGGAGGCTTGAGCTCCCGGTAACATCAACCTGGGTGGACCTAGCAAACCCGTCTGAGTCGGTACAGTTGAAGGAACTGCTGCGGGACCAGAGTACATTGGAAGGCCCGAGCCCTCACTTATAAGGAAGGAGGCTTGAGCTACTGGTAACATCAACCTGGGTGGACCTAGCAAACCCGTCTGAGTCGGTACAGTTGAAGGAACTGCTGTGGGACCAGAGTACATTGGAAGGCCTGCGCCCTCACTTCTAGGGAAGGAGACTTGAGCTCCCCGTAACTTCAACCCAGCTGGACCTAGCAAACCCGTCTGACTCAGTACAGTTGAAGGAACTGCTATCAACCCGGGTGGACCTAGCAAACCCGTCTGACTCGGTACAGTTGAAGGAACTGCTGAGGGACCAGAGTACATTGGAAGGCCGAGGACCGAGGAAGCTGTGGCAGGTGGGACCCCAGCAACCCTTACTGCCAGCATCTTTCCATCCACTTTGTATCCATTCATGTGTCTCACAGCCAAAGCGGCATCAATAGGATTTTCAAAATGAACAAAACCATAGCCTTTACCAAAACCAGTAGTTCGGTCCCTAATTACTTTCGCTTCAGTAAGCTTACCAAATGGAGAAAACAGCTCTGTCAACCGTGTTTCATCCATATTTTGAGGAATATAGCCAACATAGAGGCGTGCATCTCTGATTTCTTTGTTGGGCTTGCTTTTCGTGCTAGGAGTTGAACCAATGCCAAGCCCAGAAGAACCCGACAAAGAGTTGCTAATCTGAGGTGACACAGTCGAGGGACAATTGGATGTGGGATGGCAAAAGCTTCCACATGTTGCACAAGCATTTGCTGTTTTAAAAGTCGATTGCTGCCGAGGGCAGGCATAATGCTTGTGCCCTTGTTCCTTGCACACGCTGCATACGTTTTCATCTCTAAAATTTCCATTCAGTTTTGCAAGCTCTTTTAGTTGTGCTCGTTTGTGGTCATTCATTCCCTCATCTATCGGAATTAACAGTTTCTCAACCATCGGTACAGCTGCATCCAGTGATTCTTGGTTATCTGCCTCTATACAGACATGCAAGTCTTCTTCGCAAGAGGGATCATAATGCTGATGAGATGTTTTATCGGCGCCTTTACCCCTCAAAAGAATCTTAGCCCCAGTTTCCATTTGCATTCTCTTTATTGTGTTTCCCCTTGGTCCAATTATAAGACCAATAAAATTATACGAAGGATATTCTTTCACCGGTATGTAAAGTTTCTTAAAGAGCTTCGGGGGCTTGTAATCAGGAGGAGTTTTAAAGGAGGGGCTCTTCTCAATTAACTTTGAAATAACAAGTTGGCGTTCTTGAATAAGTTTCTCGCGAAGCCTCACCTCACGAGTATTTATTCTTATACCAAGGTTATTGTACACCGGTTCGGGAGAAGGAGATCTTTCCCCCTCGGGCCTCCCAAAATGAAGCTCTGAACGTTGCAGCTTTCTGTTTATCTCCAAAAGTTTCACATTCAACTCCTGAATCTCGGGATCCGACCCAGATCCAACAAAATCTTCCATGAAGTCGGGTAGCTGAATCGGGCCAAGCATTTTTAACTGTGCATCATCATTAGTCCACCTCGTTTTCCTTCTTTTACTAGTCTTATCACCTTCACTTGCTTCCCCAACTTGTTCACACCGTGGTTCCCATCTACTACGTCTTCTTTTTCCAGAACTGCCCGCATGCTCCTTTTGTTCAGAAGCACATTCATCATCACACGCAGACTCAGAAACTAAAGATTGACAACGGACATCTGTAACGGTGGATCCGACAGCTGATTCTGGTTTACATGCTTCATCTTGCCTGCACTTCTTTTGTGACTGAGAAACTTGCAGTGAAGCTGGCTCAATTGCTGCTACATCCAATGACCTCTTCTTTTCATTTGAATCCCTGTGACCAGCATCTGATTGGTGATCAGTTTCTGTGGTATCACTCTCAGAAGATGCCTCAGATACATATTCTTCTGAAGGATCCTCATCTGGATCCTCAATTACCTGTTCAGAGTCATCATTATTGTGGTATGACTGTGACAAAGAAGTATGATTTAAAGGTTCTGGTTCCGCTTCTAGATTCTCTGTAGGTTCCTCTTCTGAATCCTCTTCAGGGTCCGCTTCAGGGTCTTCTTCGGGTTCCTCACTCTCACCGTCATCACTCTTTGGAGAAGACTTTGGAACACATTCTTCAGTTGGCCCCTCCATTAGCTCTTTCTCTGATTCCTCACTCAGTACATCCTTTGATTCATTCACTTCAATGCTATCCTTCTTCTTAGTCCTTGAATTATATAAAGCTTTCTGTCTCCTCAAGACCTCACCTGCATTATGAAGGCAATGAATGATGGTATCTCAAAAACTGGGATCACCAAACACGCTAACATTTGAAAGTTACAAGGAAAATACTTAGAGAGACAGAGAGAGATCCATTGAAAATTTCATGAATATAATTCATGACGTCAGAGAAGGCAACAAAATGAGATCAGCACAGTTGCAAACTCGCCGAAAACACTGCCAATTACAAAGGAGAAAATATCTATACAAGTGGAAAAAATAACATATTCACAGAAGATTTATTGATTTCATTTTTGTCAATAAGATCACCTATTGAGTTTCCTATCACATAGACAGAGAGAGATTTATTGAGTTATTTGACCTAAGATTTATCTTAGCTCACATGAAATTTTTTTCAAACATTTAGTGGTCAAATAACTATGCCAACTATTTTTAATACACAGAGAGTAGAAAGATATAGGAAGGTACAACACATTTTAAGCCTCTCGTTCAAAGAAATGGAGAGAGAGGGAGAGAGAGAGAGAGAGAGAGAGAGAGAGAGAGAGAGAGAGAAGAAAAGAAAAATATAAGCAAAAAGAGAGGGAGGATGCAACAGGGTACTGTGCATCTCAAATACAAGAGAAAAAGAGACGTAGACAGACATAAGAGAAGGGAAGAGGAAGAAGGGGTGGGTGGAGATAGGTAAAAGTTAATTCAAATGTTTTCTTCAAATATTATTTACCTCTGAGGACTAGAACCCTCTTCAATCAATAGATCCCCTAAGAACTCATAATAAACCTTCTACACATATAGTACCGAACATAATAACCTAACAAAATCAAAATTTTGAACCTAAAACCACTAAAAAGTCCTAAAGGGAAGTACATAAATATTATCTAAGATTCCTAACAAGACTAATCATCAAAATATACTAGTTTAAATATCATCATGTGGATCAGGTGTCAACTAGAATGCATCAACCTCAGATCCTAAATGCAAAGGAATATAATATAAAAGCATTTCTTCCAGCCATTACAATATAAAAAAGAAAGGAGAAGAAAAAAGACACCACCAGTTAGAAGCATTTCAAAGGTCAGTCCTGCTGGATCAACCTGAAGCAGAGTCTTCACTTCCCGTGGGGGTTGATTCAATAAATAAAGGAATATTGCAAAACACTAGCGACTTGATTTCACATGCCTAGTGAGTAGGCATTTCAAAGTGTCAAGTGAATTCCATGATTCAATACAATGTATACTATCAACTCTCCCATATACAAACACCAAATAGAAGGGCAGCAAACAGAATAATCACACCATTGCAAAAACAACTATAAATTGCATACTTATTCAAAAAATAAAAACCAAAACCCAAGTGACAATGGTTCAATCTTAGAGGAGACTCGAAGAGCCAACAAAGGCAATCATAACTGCTAAACATCATATAACTAATGCACCCCATGTCAGATAAGGTTCTATAAGGGAATCAGGCAGTGGTAAGTCACCTAAGGATGTTACCTCTGCACGGATATTTGTCCAAGTTGTTGAGTATTCCACACACAACCAAAAGGGATATCCTATGAGTACTGTAATCCTAGTTAAATAATATTTCGCTATGATATATTCTCGTACTTTCCTTCATTACATGGATGGTAAGAAAAATAGGTGAAGTTATCCATGCTGAAAAATCTATGTAACACAAACTCCATTTCAACCAACATTTAACCCTATCGTAGTGCAATTGAAAACAATCTCACATTTGACTAATTCAGCCAGCGTCTTTGAGGACTAAGATCTAAACATGAATACAACACTAGACCAATAAAATATTGGTTCAACCACACCACATACATCTTCTCATGAATTATAATCTTTTAAATTTAGTGGCAGAGTAAATTATCGTTACAATTAGGAATGGTAATGGGTTGGGTTTTGGAGAGGGAGGGGGGGAGGACTTCCCCATCCCCGTTTAGCATTGCATCCCCCATTCTCGCCCACAAAACTGTTTAGCAAGGGACCCCCCATCCCCGTCCCTGCCCAACCTCAATCAATAATTTTTTTTTTTTAAATTATGTTTAATATTTTGTTAATTTATTAATGAAAGAAAATCCAACATGGGAAAACACTGAGAATCAAGAAACTCTATAACTTAATTTGATAAGAAACCCAATAAGTATAGTTTTTAATAAAGTACAGAATAAAATGGTAATTTTGAAACATAAATGAAGCAGGGCGGGGGTACCTTTCCCATACACGCCCAAAACCCACATGGGTTATTACTCCCTCATCCGTCCCCAGTTAAACCACCCAACAAAGCTGGGACGGAACAAGGTAATTTGCCACTCCCTAATTACAATGACAAAACTAAAAGCTTCAAGAAGCAACCTAATACATTTAAAAGGTCAGCAAGAACTCAATTCCACATGGTTGCTAAACACTTCTATTTGCTAAAATTTGCCATTGAACTCAATTCAGTAAACAGTAGCAAGAACTCAACTGCACATGCTTCACTAGTAATTAAATTTGACCAAAATTGTTAATCATGTCAAACACACCCTCAACTTTTGCCACCCCCTAATTACAATGACAAAACTAAAAGCTTCAAGAAGCAACCTAATACATTTAAAAGGTCAGCAAGAACTCAATTCCACATGGTTGCAAAAGACTTCTATTTGCTAAAATTTGCCATTGAACTCAATTCAGTAAACAGTAGCAAGAACTCAACTGCACATGCTTCACGAGTAATTAAATTTGATCAAAATTGTTAATCATGTCAAACACACCCTCAACTTTTGGACAGAGAGGTGAACCCCAATATTAAGCACCCTACCAACACTGATGCAACATCACGCCAAAAGACAGAATTTTAAAGAACAAGAACAATTAATCTCTACAAAATCATATAACTTAATTTGCACATATGCTCCCTCTCTCGCTCTCTCTCTCTCTCTCTCTCTATCTCTCTCTCTCACACACGGATATACTAATAATTTGTGTGGAGTTGCAGAAACGTAAAAGCTGTCTGAAGCTATACGAACATCATTTGTTCCTACGTCTCTGTAACCAAAAAATTCGACTGAAAGCTAGAACAGAGCATCTCAAGCTATTTATTAATAATACGCGAATCACAACTAGATGATCATAACCATCATCAAACAAGTCCCACCAATCGAAAAATCCAAATCATCAAATGCTACCCATTATGGTAAATCAAAAATAATCTTCACTCACCTGAGACTACGAAAAAAAAAAAAAAAAAAATGACATCGATGCGTTCTGAGTCAAACGATTCGCCCCACAGAGTTACCACTCCTGAAATAGAACACAAACCCACGAACCGAGAGCAAACAAGTCACAATTTCGCGTACTGAGATCTTGCAGTCCGTGAGCTCACATTTTGATTTCACAGATTGCATTTGTGCTTCATCGAACCTTAAAAAAAAAAAAAAAAAATTTTGGTACATTGGAGGTGATAATACAACAATGGTCATAAGCACACTCCTCATATTCGAATTTTCCTTCTCTATGAGCAAAAAATTGGGGATTTGTTGAGTTTTAGCGATGGAAGAAGAAGAAAAAGAAGAGAAAACGTACTTACGGTTACGTGGGGGCGACAGAGGCAACGACAGAAGCAGAGATGGTGGTGACCGCAAAAGCGCCTTCGTCTTCTCTTTCTCTCCGCGATGATTCTGAAAAACCCCTATCTTCTTAATTTGCACAATAATACGTATATATTTGACCCTTACTCAAATTATCAATTGTGTAAAAATATGAAAGATATTATTATAATTTATATCAAAAAATATTCTCTTGGTAAAATGTAAAAGTCATCCATTGGCATGTATTAACCAAAATGAAACTCTTTTGTTTATCGTCTATAGGACAAAAAGAAAATATAATCAAAATTAATAAGATTGTTATTAAACCAGAAAACTACATACACGTTTTTACACACACTCCTTATTTTTTCATGTTAGTAAAGCTTAATGTTAACAAAAACTAAAATTGCAATCAAATATGGTCATTTAATTTATTTATTTTCCTATTTTTATTGAAAGAAAATGGTCAGCAATTTTTAAACACCCCATCATCAAAAATTTCAGTTCTCATTATTTTATATAGTGATAGTTGACAGATTCTGAAGCCAGATGTATGCTGTATGGTAGTTTCAAGACTGAAGTTTGGTGTAGGAACATTGTCACAAAGAACATTGTCATGACGATTCAAATTATTCGGTTATGTGACATAGATACAGTACTAGAAAATATTTCTTGCATCATCAACTAACTAATAATATCTTATAATATAAATAAAAATGGTAACCATTTTAATAAATTCTATCATTACGTATCTTTATTTAATTAATAAGTGATGGTAATACCTTGTCATACTTTCCAACCAATTTCAACTAAAAATAAGTCATGAATTTTTAAAAGAAACATTTAATCACTCCAGACAAATTAAAATAGGGTCTTCTCTTTATATAATAGAACAACTATGATCCCTTTCATCTAATACCAGACTTGTCTGTTAGCATAAAGGTACAGGTCCCTGCATAGTTATGTTAGCATTTCCAGAAACATCTCTAAGCTTCACCCAGAAGCTATGTTAGATTGATTCATCAGAAAAGACCTGATTTTTTGCATTATGTGTAATTATTTAGTAAAAATGGAAAATAAAAGAAAATTCTTGAACCAAAAAGATGCAGAAGGAAAATTCATCAAGCTCGATGACAAATAACATTTGCTTCCCTCCACCCTTTTCAAACAATTAGAAACACAATCTCATAGAACAAAATTCAACCGAATGGCCAATTAAAGTAGTCTGTCACAGACTCACAATTAATCTAACGTCTACGGAGATTCTTAAATTGTGAAACAGGGATTCAGGATATGCCAAAATACAGGAATGCTCTGCTCTGCTCAAAATTGCTGTTCAGAATTTGGCTACATATGTATAACTTCCTTTACAATATCTACATATTTATCACAAAAAGACCAGACCTTGGTGGTGCTACAACCATTTCAACAGTTTTTATAACAATTGGCATTATAAATCAAAGAAACAAAGGTTTCAGGTCATTTTGGGGCTCCAAGTAAAATGAAATGGTTGAGATGGTGTCAACGTTGGTGTGGCAAAATCTCACCGGGATTGGGAACTTGGGTAATCCGGATTACCAGGAAATTGTTCTAGAGAGCTAGGGTACAAGGGTTGGATTTCAATAGAATTTCTGTAAGATGAATTAAAGCTGCTTACACACCTTGAATCGGGGATGCTTGAGATGACAGGAGGCGGGAAATCTAGGGCCTCACTTTTAGGAAGTTGATTGCAATGCCTCATGTAGATGGAGGGAGGGGGCAAAGCCAAGCCCTCACTTTTCAGAAAGGACGCTTGAGCTCCTGGCAGCATTGAAGAAGGTGTGGCAAAATATGACTGGAACTGGGAACCAGGGTAGTCTGGATCACCAGGAAATTGATCAAGAGAGCCAGGGCAGAAGGATGTTGGAGAATTGGTACGATGAATGAAAGCTGCTTATACTCTTTGAATCAGTGACATTTGGGACAACAGTTGGGGGGACATCTAGAGCCTCACTTTTAGGAGGGTGCTTACAGTGACCCAAGTAGATGGAGGGATGAGGCAAACCAAGCCCTCACTTTTTGGAAAGGAGGCCTGAGATCCTGGCAGCATTGAACCAGGTGAGGTAAAATATGATTGGAACTGGGAACCAGGGTAGTCCGGATCACCAGGAAATTGATCGAGAGAACCAGAAATGAAGGAATGAATTAGATTAGAGAATTCATAAGTTGAATGATAGCCACTTTTACTCTCTGTCTCGGTGATATTTGAGAGCCTCACTTTTGGGAAGGTGATTGCAATGCCCCAAGTAGATGGAGGAAGAAGGCAAGCCAGAGGCCTCACTTTTGATAAATGAGGCTTGAGAGCCCGGCAGCATCGAGCCAGGTGGGCCCAGTGATGCTGTCTGACTCGGGACTGTTGGAGGTGGGGGTGGGCCTATTGAAGCTGTCTGACTGAGGACAGTTGAAGGAACTGCTGCATTTATGGAGTACATTGGAAGATGGCTGAATACTGAGGAAGTTGCGACTGGTGGGTGCCCAGCAAGCCTCACCGCCAGCATCTTCCCCTCCAATTTGTATCCATTCATGTGCTTCACAGCCAAAGCGGCATCAATAGGATTTTCAAATGCAACAATACCATAGCCTTTACCTGAACTAGTTGTACAGTCTCTATTTATTTTCACTTTGATGAGCTTTCCAAATGGAGGTAACAGCTCTGTCAACTGCAGTTCATCCATAGTTTGAGGAAGAGAGCCAACATACAGGATTGTATCTCTGATTTCTTTGTTGGTTTTGCTGTTTATGTTAGGAGTAGACCCAAAGCCCCCAGAAGAACCCGACAAAGAGTTGTTAATCCTCACAGTCAAGGGACAATTTGAGATGGGATGGCAAAAGCTTCCACATGTTGCACAAGTGTGTGCCATTTTAAAATTCGGTTGCCCATTAGGACAGGCATAATGTTTGTGCCCTTTCCCCCTGCACACACTGCACATTCCATCATCCCTATGCTTACCGTTCAGTTTTCCAGGTTCTTCTAATCGTTCTTGTTTATGGTATTCATTCTGTCATGTACTGGAAAGTCTGGAATTAGAAGTTCTCTCAATCATCTTTACAGCTGCATCTAGTGATTCTTGGTTATCTGCCTTTATATAGACATGCAAGTCTTCATCATCACTGGGATCAGCTTTCTTCGGTGTTTTCACGCAGCCTTTGCCCCTGACAAAAATCCTAGCCCCAGTTTCCTTCTCCATTCTCCTTCACGTGTTTCCATTCGGGTCAATTATAGGACCAAGAAAATTATATATTGGATATTCTTTCACTGGTATGTAAAGTTTCTTAAAGAGTTTCTGGGGCTTGTAATCAGGATGAATTTTAAAGGAGGGGTTCTTCTTAAGTAACATTGATATAATAAGTCGGCATTCTTGGAAAAGTTCTGACGGAGCCCTACCTCATGAGTATTTATCCTTATACCAAGGTTATTGTACACCGGTTGGGGAGAAGGAGATCTTTCCCCCTCGGGTCTATCATCGTGAAGCTCTGAACTTCCAAGCTTGCTGTTTATTTCAAAAAGTCTGGCAGTCAACTCCTGTATATCTCCGACAAAATCTTTTAATAAGTCTGGTAACCGAATTGGGCTAAGCGTTTTGACTGCACATCATCACTCTACCTGAAGGGAAAAGTACCAATCAATTGACAATATCCCACGGTAGAACTGATAGAAGTCCTAATATTATTTTGAGGAAACAAACAATTCGAAATCTGAATAATTGAAAACAGGCCAAAAACATTATGATAACGAAAGAAAAAATGTCTATTTATACAACTTAAGAAACCAAAAGATAGCTAATTTAGAGAAGAAATTTATTTGTTTTACTCTTGTCCACAGAAACGCATCTATTGAGCTAAAACACTCTTATTGCATTTCCACATCAGAAGCTAAACATCTTAATTTTCTTAAAATGGAACAAGCTATGTCGTGATCTATCTTACACGAACATTTCTTCAAACATATGGTGGGTAACTTACAATGCAATTACTTTTCAATTCTTCTATTCACAATCGAAAAATTGTGTATATATGTGCATTCTCACACATATATACAAAGACGCGCACACATAAGAAAAACAGAGAATTGCACAAAAATAGAACTTGTGTGAAGCTATACGAACCTCGAAAATTGACGGATCCTTCAACGACGAGGAGATTAAACCTAGAACCCAAATCACAGTCTCTCTGTCTGTCTCACTTCCGTGGAATGGAATTTCGCTAAGACCTATGAGCAGAACATAATCAACCGATAATAGCCATGAGCACAGTCAATTTGTAAATTTCACTTCTTAAATCTTTAATCTAAGAGCAATAATTTGGGGGGTCTTTTGGGTTAAAGTTGTTTAACACCGGGAAGAAGAACAGAAAATGTACTTGGTTATGTGGCGACGGTGAAGCTGAGTTAGTGGCCGGAAAACCGCTGAACACGGTGGTCATTGCTTGGTCGAAAATCTTTATTCTCAAATTTTATCTTAATTGTAGTAACAATTAAAAAATTAATAATCTTATTTTAAAAGTCAACTTCGAAATTGTTACTCACAAGTTTAAAGTGAATATTTAAAATGGACTTTGTCAACTAATAAAAAAAGTTTCGTTTTTTTTTTTTTTTAAATTATTATTATTATTTTTGTTACAGTAAATTTAAATGATAAATTATTGACTAATTTTTTTCTTCTCAATAATGGTGGTGCCTCGTCACTTATCAGCGTACTCCATAATTGAAAAATTATTAATCAAATGGAATTCTAAAACTTTACCTTGGCATAAATAAATTTTTATAAACATTACTTAAATTTTTAAGATTCTCAACAGTTAGCATTTACTTGAGTTCTCACACTACAGAGTTCTTTTACCGAAATTTTTATTAGACTTCAGAATTACAGCATACACTGTAGAAAAATTTATAGTAAAACTAAAATTTCATCCTAGGCTTCGAAATATATTAACTCCTCAAATTTTTAGTTATTTTATTAATCTTTAAGAATTTTCTCCAAATATATAATTTGAGTGATGAAAGATTCCATTTCTGAACATCTCCTTTCAAAGATTTATTCAAGTGGGGTGTCCGAAATTAGTAGTGAAGTTTTTTTTATTTTTTTGGGTAATGAATTTGTGGTGGAGTTGTTTCTGCATTTAACTTTGCCAAAGTTATTCATCTCCTATTCAGGCTATTCCTCAAGGCTGTGAAGCCAATGTCCAAACTCCAACGTGTGGGTAAGACTACTCAAAGGCATACTCGGTTGTCCCTGTGGGCGTATTGCAACGTTTATGAATCATATCCAGTATATTGACGGTGGATTCAAATACCTCCTGTTATGCAAGTGCGGGAGTTAAATTTCATTCGCGTTCTAAAAATGATACAAGTGGGGAGTTTTCTTCAATTGGAAGATCTTTTATAAAAAGACATATCCCATTGATGGATGAGGTGAATTGATGACTCCGTTTTGATCTATATTTAATTATTTACAATAAAAGACTATCCACATCACTCACACGCATAATCACATCTTAAATAGAAGATTTGAACCCAATTTTCATGGACTCAATATGAATTCTGGGGTAACAACCAAATAAACTTCTGTCACACTACAGTTTGGAAAACGCATGAAGTACATGCACTCCAACATATATTACTTCTGTTTCCTACACTTAATTGAATATCATATCATAAGATTTGTTTAGGCCGGCTCAACCTGTCACATAAAGTATGTGTGGAAGCGAAAGGGAGCGCGAAAATAGTAAAATTTAAATCGCTCAAAATGAGAATCTGAGTAAAAATTTGTAAAGCGTGAAAGGTAGACCGATTTAAAAAAATTGTATGACTTAAAGCACAACCATAAAATAATTAAGACGGCAATCTAAAGCCTCTAACAAAAGAAAATGCCCCATACAAGTCAATTCATTATATTAATTATACATTTCTTGATTATGCTTTATTTATTATTTTAATTACCAAATATACACAATTGACAATAAAAATTGCCAATTAAGTGGCAGCCTAAACCCCCAGTGTGAGAATAGGCCCCATACAAGTCAACTCATTATATTAATTTTACATTTCTTGATTATACTTCATTTATTGTATTAATTACCAAATAAATACAATTACTCTTTTATACCCCCAAGTTGACAAAGTGAGGTGGCAGCCTAAGCCCCAATTTAAGAAGAGGACCAATACAACTTAACTCATATATTAACTATAATTTTTTTTTATTAAACTTTGTTTATTATATTAAATATCAAATAAATACAAGTCAACCCATTATACTATTAATTATACATTTATTGATTATATTTTTTTATTATATTAATTACCAAATAAATACAATCGTTCTTTAATACATCAATATAAATTGACAATTAAGGTGACAGTCTAAGCCCCCAATGAGAGAAGAGGCCGTATACAAGTCATCTCATTATGTAATTATATATATATTTTTATTAATATATTAATAATTATTTTTTATTATATTAATTAGGGTGCACTAAATAAATATAACTTCTTATCCGTTACGAGTTTCCAAAAATACTTATCTTATCATTACATCAAATTTTTCTCTCAACAATCTCACCCTTTGGTACTTCTTCCAATTTTAAATTTCATTGCATGTCAATACTTGTTCTTATATTAAATATATATTTTGGGTTTTGTAATTTATTGACTTGGAATTTGTAAGATATTGACTTCACTGCACAATTGATTTACTGTCTCTTAAGGTGTAAATATTACTTTTTGTATTTTCTCGCTTACCAAGAGCATTGTAAAAAAAGAAAAAAAGAAAAGAAAGAAAAGGCTTTAACTATGTTTTTCATTCATATGCATCCCATGGGGAATTTTGTATATTTAAGAATTTTTTTATTTTTTATTTTTTTGTCAAAAACTATCCCCTTTTTTGAGAATTGTATAATCTCCCCTTTTTAAATGACTTTGAGAGTTACATAGTCATGATACAATGTGATCAGGGAAAATCAGTCATCTTTAAAAAAATATTTCAGAAAAGCAAGTGTGTTCGGTGTTATTGTGTGGAGCACACTTGCTTGGGAATGTTATAAAAAATCTGGTTGGGGAATGTTAAAAAAAAGAAAAATAATATATATATATATATATATATATATAGAATGAGATATGTATTTTGAGGTATCTTAAAATAAAAAATAAACAAAAATTTTGAAACGAAGAGAATAATTTGAAAGGCAAGACTTACCTATTTATTGGAGTAGGTTTTCATTACTAATTGTTAATTTGGTTCAATCATAAATATACAAATAAACTGTAATTACAAAATCATAAAAATTATAAATAAAGATAATAATTTTATTTAAAATAAAATTCAATCTCTTTAATTTATTTATTTATCATTTTTTTAATTTTATAATTATACACTATATATATATTTGTAATTGATCCTTATCAGCAATCTTGTTTTTTTTCCTACACAGTAGATAAGTCATGTCCTAATTTAAATGCCGTTTGAGTGTAGTATATAATATGCCCAATTCGTCCAATATCTTTGGTCGAATCCAATTCTGAACGTGAACACAAGCAAAAAGTTGTAATTTCACCAGAAGAAAAAGGGTATTCTACTATGGGAAAATCCTTTGGTTTTCGTCAAGTCATATGTTCTGTGAAGACACTTGTCACCCCCAAGAATCAAAAGTGTAAATAGTATATATTATAAGACTCCGTTTTTCCAATTTATTTTTTTCTCTTTAAAATAATTTGGTAAAAGTATTTCCTTTTTGTTCTTTCCCTTGAAACAAACAACCCACACTCTTTGTCTTCTTTGTGCACATAAAGAACGACAGAGCTGAAGAACCGAAAAGGTACACTACTACTTGGAAATCACAACATTTTCTCATTTCGCAAAACCGAAAGAAAATGGTTGTTGAAGTCTAGAATAAACCCTAAACCCCTCTTTGAAAGTTAGCTCTCAAGAAAAAAGAAAGGAAGACGACGACATCACTCCCCTATCTCTATTCTTCAACTCTGTTCCCAATCACACACACATTCTTCAATTTCACACACATTCTCTCCTTATCTATGTATGTATATGTATTTATATATGCATAGGATCATTCACATATATGTGCATGTGTGTGTGTCAGAGAAATTTGTTGTAATTCTCACTTTTTTTAGTTAGAAGGGTTGTTTGATTCTATGGAAAAACAATCACATTTCTCTGCAACTTCATAAAAGCTACTCTGGCTTTATATTTAATAAATCTGTAGCAGAGAGAGTGTTTGGGAGTGCAATCTAATGCAGGTTCTCGAGTTGTCCTGTAATCTATGGCTTCGATTAATGTCGATGAGATCGCGAGCATTTAAAGCATTGAGATTTGATTCATCAGTCCAGTCCTATTAATTCACTCTCTCTCTCTAACACACACACACACACACACACTGTTTCTCTATCTATCAGTTCAATCTCAGAAGAGGAGGAGGAGAGAGAAGATGGGGAGAGCACCTTGCTGTGACAAAGCCCTAGTGAAGAAAGGAGCTTGGACTCCTGAAGAAGACAAGATTCTGGTTGATTACATCACCAAGAACGGCCATGGCATTTGGCGTTCCCTTCCTAAGCTCGCTGGTAATTCTTCGCCTCTCTTGATTTTTCAATCCTAATTTTACAGTCATCGTCGCTATTACTGTTATGGTCACATGTGACTTCTTTGATTTCTTAAGATGATGAAATTTTTTGTAGTTGAAGATGTGATTGATTCAATCATTTCCACAACCACTTTCCAAACATCTTAGAAACTCTCAAATAAAAGCTTGTTTCTCACAAATTGATCCTTCACATAAAGTCGACTACACATATATAATTTTTCCTAATATAGGATTAACCCATTCGCTAGTCACTTTGAACTTTTGGATGATTTACAAAATCCAGATGCAAGCAATCGCCTGCAAACCACGTGCATCATTTAAGTCCACACCCAAGGAGAGTACCTCTAAAGACCTTATTAGTTGGGCTACATATTCCTCAAGAAATATGGTCTACATATTTGTGTATCTATATATTATATATATTTGTGAGTTGTAATTATCTATGGTATATACTTGGGATTTTCTTTGATTACTGTAAAGTTGTGTTTATATTTTTTCAATTTTTTATGGTAGTGTCACTCCCCTCAAGTTTTTTTTCAATTTTTGGTTAACTTCTTGACCATTAATCTATTTTAAGGTCTCCTTCGATGTGGAAAAAGCTGTCGGCTTCGATGGACAAACTATCTTCGGCCAGACATCAAACGTGGCCCCTTTACTACTGAAGAAGAGAACACCATCATCCAGCTGCATGGTGTGCTTGGTAACAAGTAATAAATTGCCTCAATTTTTTCTTCCCAAGTCTCTTTCAATTGCGGAAAGTCTATGGATTCTTTAAATGCTTTGCTTTGTCAAATCTTTTGACCAGTGAGTTCTTTTACCTGGTTAGTTTCTAAATTTTTTATTCACTCCTACTATATATGCATCCATGACAAGAGCCCCGTGCACTGGGTTAGCCCTTTTATGAAAATATCCATGAATATATCTGTCGAATTATATAACTCTGTTCTTGCATAACATGGATATCGACTTTGTTCCAAATCATACGAGGCACGAATTATTGTAAGCACATGGATCATGTTCTAAGGCTTTAAGAGGGTGCTGAAATTTGAAGCTCCTTCACTTGACTGTGTTCATTGTTCTACACTTGGTAACTTGTAGTCTGGTACTGCTCTTAGTTAGGTGAAGAAACTACTGTAATCTTTACTCTCTTCATTGAGGAATTTATGGTAATTATAGAATTTGAAGTAGTTTAATCAATGGGATTTCTGGTCGGATAGGCCAACAAACTTAAGGCCTTTTGTCCAACTCTCTGGTTGATCAGCTGAGTAAATCATGAGCTTGATGTCAAGAACACACATTTTCAGGTGGGCTGCCATTGCATCCAAACTACCAGGAAGAACGGACAATGAGATTAAAAACTTCTGGAACTCTCATCTAAAGAGGCGACTCTTCTGCATGGGACTTGACCTGCAGACTCACAGGCCATCCTCAGATTCAAAGTCACAGCCCCCATCAAGTCGCCATATGATACAATGGGAGAAAGCCAGAGTTGAGGCTGAGACTCAGCTTTCAACAGAGTCATTACTACTCAACAAGCCATCAACAGGTGAAACCAACTGCGATTACTTCCTCCGCATATGGAATTCTGAAGTTGGAGAATCATTTCAAAAGATTAATGAATGCGATGGAGTGGTGTCTCAAAGCCCAATGTCTCATGCATCCTCTTCGACAAAAGATGGGTCGGGTTCAGGTATCACAGCACAGGCAGCCCACACCAGGGCTAGTACCTCTAGTGACACTGCTGATGTGCAAAAAAATGTGGACTATCTGGATTCTCGAAACGAAGCAAATCACATGATGGCTGGATCAGACACCTCAAATTCGCATGAACCGGATGATTCCTCTTATCTACTGCTAGATTACCCCAGTGGCGATGATTTGGGATTCCTAGAAGAACATACAGATGACATATCCATTTTCCCGCAAAAGTAAATATGACTGCTTTTGAGTAGTGCAGGAAGTGCAGCTAATGGTGCTTTGGAGCCCTATTATGTTAATCTGTTATGAACACTTATGTTCAATCTGGTTGGTTTACTGACTTTCATCTTATAGCTGCCTAAATTTTCTCTTTTATTTAAAAAATGTGGGGCCTAAGAGAAATCAAGTTAGGGGTATGAGCAAAAAAAGATTACCCATTTCGATGCCAAGTGGAAGATTAGTAGAAATTGACAGTTGGGGAAGCGATTTTGTTCACTGGTTGGCTGTGCAATTATCCATGCCATTACATTTTCCGACAGTAGGAAAACTATGCATTTTGAACATGCATGTATATATCTGTTTTAATCTTATTTTGGTCCCCAAAAAAAAAAAAAAAAAAAAACATTCTTTGTTTTTTTCTTTGCCTTCCATTACAGTTAATCTTGTAATATGCAGACAGTGGAGCAAGGACCACAAACACATTGCAAGAATTTGTAGGGTTTTCACATTAGTGATCACATCCACAAGTGAAAATATATGATGGTCTTCCATCTCCCAGATATATCTGTATAGTGATGTGCAACAATTCCTATTTTAATCCAACTCTAGATAAACTTAAGAGTAGTAAGTTCTAGCACTTATCTACCTGAAAGAGTACTACATTAATTGGAAAAGAAAAACAATTTTATAACCTGAAATAGAACAATGTCCCTACAATGCTTTACGATGTTTCACACACACAGGCAATTTACACTAACCCCACGAACAGCAATATGACAAGTGGTACTGTATTATTGTACATGGTCCCATGGTTGCCTGACACGTTTTGGTTATGATTTGTTTACATAATTTCACTAATTTGTTTTGTTACTGTACCAGTTTTTAATGTACTGCTAAATCTATAATTATCTGAGATTTCCAGTTTTTTCAACACCTTGGTACCTCTACCTTCATGACATTGAAATCATTGACATGGTATATATCACTACAAACTCAATTCTTACAAATTAAATAAGCTATTTTTCTCCACAAGGGATATATATACACACAAATACACCACTATGCACATAAAATAATGAAAATTCTCCACCATATAAGCTCGCCACACATCTGAAAAGAACAAACAAAGCCCAAAGATATTTACAGATAGGAATCTAGGACCTGATAATTTCAACTTCAGAAACATCCAATGAGTTTCTTTGGACCACTTCCAGTCGCACGGTACTTTGCTGCCATCTCCTCTGCTTTGAGAAGATCTTCCCCGCGTTTGGCTTCAGTCATTGCTCTCTTTTCTTCGGCTTCCTTGTGGATGAGCGCTATCTTGTTTTTCATTTTCTCTACGTACTCTGCCTTCTTTTTCTCCAAATTCTCCTGTTCAATGCATATGTGATGTGAAATGATCTCAACTCTGATTAGATAAAGGTCTTCTCTAAAACATCAGTGTGGTAAAGTTAAATACTAGTCATCTAAACTCGGGAGTTTGTTTCTATAATATTCTTTTACAGCATGATCATGACTTCTTACCTCAATCTTTTTCAGCTCAGCCTCTATAGTTGCTTTCTTGCTGTTCTCCCATGCTGCAATGGAGGATAGCTTTTTACAAGCTCTATTCAACAATTTAGAATGTTAGGTTTCATATACATAATCCACACTGATCAACATAAGTAATTTCATATTATTTTGAATTGAAGATGACATTCAAATATGAAAATTAGCCCATCTGCGTGTAAAGGAAAACTTTCATCAACTAAAAGTTTGACTTAACAGAAAAGCATTTGATTTTGTAAAAGTGCCTCAAATTGTTGGCATGTTTTCTGAAAAATGCAAATGATTGTGAAGGCAAAAATTAATGCAGAAATTTTTTTTTTTTTAAAAAATTAATTATTATATCAGGATCTTTTGAAATAAAAGAATATAGAATCTATATCAGATAATCAGATTATATGGTATATATAATACAATGACCGGGATAATTTATCAGAAGAACGTATTCATAGATCAGAATTCGGAATTGAATAATATATAAGCTATTAAATCTTATCTATCACCGATATCACTATACATTCATTGGCTAATTCACGCAATGTACATAATATTAGAACAATGAGTAATATTTATTTCTTCCCCCCAATCTATCTCCCTTGCCCCAAATAGAGAAAAACAAAAAACAAAATGAAAATATGACATAATGGTGCTGAATTTGCTGCATCTGCATAAAGCAGTATTAATATAGCAGAAGCACATAACTCACCGTGACTGATTCATTTTAAACTAAAATAAATTGACTTTTGCTAAGAAATCAAAAGCACAATTGTCAGTGTACCAAAATAATGTAGTAACTATTCCTGAAGATGTGTATGGCTATGCCACAATTGTCAGTGTACCCAGAACATCAATTTTCTTTATTCAAAGACAATTTTCCGGTTGGACATGGTGAAAAAAATAGTGTTTAAACGCTTATCATTATTACAGCATAGAATGCACTTTTAGCGGACGTTTTGGCAATATAAAATATATAAAGTTCCATACATGCTTGAAATAACAAAGTATACAAGAAGCTGAAACAGTAGAGTACATTCAAGAAAGTTCTTACTTGTTCTCCGCTTTTGACTTCTCACTTTCCTCCCATGCTCTGATCAGGGACATCCTCTTCTCAGTTGCAACTCGTGCAAGCACAGCATCTGAACAGATTATGAGCAAATTAATCACGAGTTTCAATCATCAACCCGTGACACGAATATACAAGATATGAACCAGATAAAGGAACAGAGAGATATTATTCGTCATTACCTCTGTTGACAGAGCCTTCAGTACTTTTCCCTTCTTCAGAATCCGGTACCTCTGTTAGAGCAGAAATGTTTAAACAATCAGAGTATCATAATTAGCAAGTTAAATCCTATGTAGTTAAGCTTGGGGCCAAATATTAATTTGGTCAGAAATGGGAAACAATCATTTCTCATGCTTCATGAAAATTTATTGAAGTACTTCAATCTTTTCTCATGCTTCAGGAAAACTTATTGAAGTAGAAAATGTAAAAGTCATGCACCATCTGGTGGTTTACTTGGACCATGATTAATATCATTGGTGAAAAAATGAAATAGTAAGTACCATGAAACCGACTTTTTGAAAGTCAAACATGACTTCCTTTCAACTACATCGTGTGAAGTGGAAAGATGCTGAGGTTTCTACCTAGATTTTTAATTATAATTGATTCAAAGGCACTGAACCCCACTTCGCTTAATTATCAAAAATTAATCTTCTACATTATCCTACCAGCACAACCATGGATGATTTTCATTACTTGGAACTTCTGGCAAGTCATTAACTGGGATCGCAAAGCCTAAAGGAAGAATTTCAATACTGTTCAAGCTATTAATATTTAACAGCAATGCATCTTGTACCATTAACCAGTAATAGGAAAAATCCCGTTTCTAAAGCTAAAACATAAAATGGTTAGATAGTAGTGATAAAACTCAGTAAAGAACAAATCATACTTGACGTGAATGAAAATTAACAATATTTTCAAAAGAGACCACCACATCCTACATATACAATCGCTTGACTTTTAAAATCACTTGATTCACACCACATTAGTTGAGAATGCGAAGTGTTATTTCCATGCTTAAGCACTTTCCAAAATTTCCAAACTTATAAAGATAACTAGGCAGCTATATGAAGTGCAGTGGCATACACAGCCAGATGTTGACAAGTGTAGGAAGACTTGTGATGGTAAGTTTAGCCTGTAAACACCAAGTAGCCAAGTTTTAAATTCTATAAAAAATAAAACCTAAAACTACCTAAAAAAAAGACCAATCAACCATCTCATTAAAGAACTCCTAAACCCTAAGACAATTACTGAACTATATGCAATGTCAATTATAATGCCTTCTCAGTTAAAAAACACTAACAAAGTTACTTCCCACTACTAACTTAACAAATATAAGTGCCCCACATCACTGAAGAACAAACAATTATATCAACCAATTATATCTTGTCACATAAGTAAAAATGCATTTATTTAGTGGGTCATATCATTACGTGTTAGCATTTAATTAGTTAGTGATACCATGTCATCAAAATAACAGGAGCATTAAAGTATTTCTCGTGTGTACCCCTCCTATGGATAATCCATAACAGCCAGCTCATCATTCAACAAACCTAGAAATATTTTAGTATGATCTTATTCTATCTCTTTTGTAAATGGTTCTTCTTGAATATTATATATCTCGGTACTCATCAAGGGACACTTGAGATTTTCCACTCAACTCAAATCTTATCATGGTAACTGATATGATTAATCTTTTCAAATATTTGGCTCAATAATATCACCAGAAAGAATTTAAGAGTAATTATTTATTCCCACTTTCTAGAAAATGTTTGTTTTTAATAAAGGGAAAGACTATTATTATTATTGGTAATAAAGATAAAGACTATTATTATTATTGGTAATAAAGAGAAACATTATTGCCAAAGAAGTTTTTGTTGCTTTCAAGTTTCAAATTTTGATGGTCAGTAAAAAGAAACATTAAAGCCAAATAAGCTTTTGTTGTTTTCAAGGTACAAAATTTTGGGCTTTGACCACTCATGCAACAAAGTAATGAATAATGATAACTATTACAAATAATATCATTCACTTCTATAGTAAAAATTTTCAATGCTCGACTTCGCTAATTTTTCACCTCCTGTTATTTACAGTAGTATTTAGGAATTTTGAGAGAAAATCTGAACAAATTAACAAAAAATTCGGTCAAGCGTCGAAATCTTTGGCTAAATATCATCAGGTAAATCTTGTCAGAAATTAAGCAGGACAGAAAAAAATTGAAGTCGGGATTGGAACTTAGAAAAATTAAATTTTTAAAAAAAGAGTGTGAATTCACAAATTGAAACAATGAACACACTGTTCATGCAGATCTGAAGAAAATATCAACACATAAAATTTATACTGTTACTTCTAATCCCAACTTTCTTTAACTAAATTTTATTCAAAATCAAACAAAAGAAACTTAAGCTAATTCAAACGAAAATCAATATTTCTCTGAGTTATACTTACAAACATATCTCCTATTAAAAATTAAGTTAAAAAAAATAAAATAAAATCAGAATTCCATACAGATAAGAAAAAACTGATCAGACTTTCATATATATATATATATAAAGAAAAAGAAAAAAGAATAGCCTGAATAATCTTCTTCAACTCCGTTTGGTTGGTGAGAAAATAAAAATAAAAAATAAAAAAATAAAAAGGAAAAAAATCAAAATTCTGGATGTTAAATACTTCAATATTTGAATAATTTAGTCAGTGACCACTCTCAGGCTTTTCCTTTTACAAGAGACGGAGACGGAAAGTAAACACTAAAAAAAAATAAAAGAAAATTATTTTTCTTAAAATTTCTTAGAATTTACTTCGTTTAGAGAGAGATAAATTACTTTCGACAACGGCGAGAGCTTTGGAGTCATCGGGTTTCTCTTCAGGTGGTGGAATTACGGATTTCTCCTCGGAAACGTCTTTTGGAGCTTCAACGGGTTCCGGTGCCGGAGCGGGCGAAGGCTCGGAAGGAGACTCGGACTCAATTTTCTTAGGCTCCTCCTCGGCCATCTCTCTCTGCTCTAAAATTGGCGAAAGGAAGGAAGTATAACCAAACAAACTATATGTCTAGAGAGAGAAAGAGGAGAGAGAGTGGGGAAGTTGGAGTGAGGTAACTGTCTCAAAAAGACTAGCTGGATGGGGTTGGTATAGATGCCAAAATATAGTTGGCAGACAGCGAAACCACCCCCATTATTCTATTCAAATTCAAATTCAATACTACTGCCAATTTTTAATGTTCTAATTAACCTATTTTTGTTTATAAATTATAGAGATCTTGTTGGGATTAATTTCCACCCAATAAATATATGGCTGGGATTAATTAACAAACATGTAATCGATATCTACACACATCATCGTATTACCACGATACAAACATGTACTCTAATCGATATCTACACACATAATCGAATAATCGTACTACCACGATATTAAAGAAGTTGAACATATTTGGGCCAACCTGATGTAAACAGTCTGGTATCGGACCCACCACACACCATAAATAGATTAAATACTTAACGTCTAAACCAAAAAAATAATAATAATAAATAAATATATTGAAACAAATTGCAAAAGCGACAAACAGACGCTCTCACCCTAAGATCGCGCCACCATTGTTGTTTGCGCAACATTATTTGACACAAATTTAAGAAAGCCACCACTCAAGGGCGGAGCCAAAAATATAAAATTGGGGAGGGGCAAATTATTAAGTAAAAAATTATTTTTTTTTTATTTATTTAAATTATGACAAAATTTTTTTACTACCTTGTTTTTTTTTTTTGTTAACATGTCTATAAATGATATCTAAATAAAAAATGGAATAAAAACATATGACATTAAATGAGGTTGTCAAATTAAAATATATATTTTTTAATCTTTAATTTATAAAAAACTATATATATATATATACATATATATATATATGCGCGCGTGTGTGTATGTATAGAGTATTATATAATAAAAAAAATTGAATATTATATGAAAGATATGAATAGAATACTCATATGTTATATCAAGATTATAATAACAACCTTCCAAAAAAAAAAAAGGAATAATTCCATAAAAATAGAGTTTTGGAGTCAAAGGACAAAAGAATGGAGTCAAAATTAAGTTTTTCAAATTAATGAAATTTTATAAAAGTCTGACGTGGAGATCAAAATTTATTATATATCATCTTTTTATTCCCAAAACACCCTTCTCTCATATCTAGAGAGAGAAATCCATCTATGGTAACCCCTCCTCCTAAACCAACCACCAACAATCCTATCTATCATCTCTCTCTTTCACCCACCTTACCAGTATACCCATTTAAAAAAAAAAAAAATTGTAAATCTTTGTTCTCCCTCTCACGTTTCCTCCAAAAACATCTTCTCCTCCAAATCCGATTTAAATCCAAAATTCATATCATACAAAAGAAAGAGGGAACGGACCCTCTCCAAGGGAATTCCTCTCGTAATATCTCCAAGGATTTAATCCTGTGGTTGTTATAGTGCCACATCACTATCTAACCATTCTCTCATTAATTTACCAAAACTTAATTATAATTAAATATGGTATCTTTTGGATTCCAAGATAACAATTACGGCGGATTTTCCATTCCGCTCATTTTACTTTTTGGTGCTAAAATTTCCATATAACAATTATGCTTCATTTTACTTTTTGGCTCTAAAATTTCTAAGATAACAATTACCATTCTGCTTCCCTCTTTCAATTTCTCTCCACTATCATCAATCTTTATTCGCTATAATTTAAAGTTTGGAAGATTTTACAATTTTTTCTGGTTTGAGAAAGTATTTTAAGATTTTGGTACATCAGATAACTCAAAGCTCATCTGGATCTCCTCTATCTTTCAGGGTTTTATCCACTGCAACGTCTAGGTTAGTTGAATCATATATATATATATATATATATCAATTTTTATTGAATAAGTTGGGATGGGAAATCAGCCGTAATTGTTATCTTGGAATCCAAAAGATACCATATTTAATTAAGTTTTTTGGTAAATTAATGAGGGAATGATAAGATAGTGATGTGGCACTATAACAGCCATAGGATTTAATCTTTGGAGATGCTAGGAGAGGAATTCCCTTGGAGAGGATCCGTTCCCAAAGAAAAATCAAGATTCAAGCTGAGATTCAAAAACTCAACACGAAACATCATAAAAAAACCAACACAATCCTCTCAAAAGGTTGATGCAAATGCTTGTGGATCCACAATAAATCTCCAAGTGGGTCTGTGCAATCCAAGTCACACCATAAAAATTGGAATATTCATAAATGAGAACTAGGCCCTTCTCCATTTTCCTGAAAGGTTTACAGTATCAAAGTAGCAAATATCTAACTTTTTTTTTAAAAATAATAATAACAAATATCTCTTAATTTCTAAGGTTTTGTTGGACTTGGCGACATCGATGATTTTGACAATGTGTTTCGAGAGTTTAAGGAAGGAGGAGCTGCCCGAGAAGGAAAGTTTGAGAGGATTGACATAGATGGGTTTCTCTCTCTAGATATGAGAGGGTAGTAGTATAATTTCATAACAACTATAGAATGGTATTTTGGGAATAAAAAGATGACGTATAGTAATTTTCCATGTCCACGTCAGACTTTCATAAAACTTCATTAATTAGAAAATTTTAATTTTGACTTCATTCTTTTGTCATTTGACCCCTAAAACTCCATTTTTATAGAATTATCCAAAAAAAAAAAAAAAAAAAGATTAGTTAGACTTTGATGAACACAATCAATTTCTTTTGCAAATCATCTTTAATAACCATAAATAAGTAACAAAAATAAGTATTTTTTGAAAATTTAGGGGGTCAATTTTAATTTTTCTATAGTAAATTACCATTAATAATTATAAATATACACTATTAATAGAAGTTACAGAAAATTTTGAGGGAGCCAAATAAAATTTTTATATACTAAATTATCTTTAATAAGTATAAATATACACCACTAATAGAGGTTACACAAAAAATTGATGAGGCCATGGCCACCCCGCCTCCCACCTCCCTCCGCCCTTGCCACCACTTAGGGTCAGTTTGGTAGAGTGGAAATGGGAGGAAAGGGAAAGGTTTGGAGGGTTAACTTGTGCTTTCAACAGTAAATTTCTTAACCTCCCAAAAATGAAAGGAAATGAAGGGAAAGGGAAGGATAGGCTTATTGTGTGATTTCAGATGCCAATCTTGCCCTTGATTAATTGATTTAGCAGTTGCAGAGAGAGAGAGGAGGGCAAGCTTGAGAGTTGAGAACGACGAAGCTTGCTTGCGAACAGTGAACCCGAATTGGAACAGCGGGTGATGGAACCTGATATGGGTTTTGATCGATATGGGTTTTGATTTTTTGAACAATCTGAAATTGGGTTTTGATTTTTTGAACAATCTGAAATGATGCCGATATGGGTTTTGAAGTTTTGATTCTTGTAGACAAATATATAAACCGAAATAGATGGGTTTTGAACTTCTGATTCTTGTAGTAGTTTGTAGTTGGAGAGAGAGAGAAGTTCGTCAGCCCATCTCGTGGTGTAGGTCGATTGAAGCGAGCTGCTACGCGCTACTTTTTTACTTGGGTATTGGGGTTGGGTAAAGGGCTAATGTTCATCATGGCACCCAAAAATCTCAATCAATTCTGGCGGTTGAGAACGAGAATAAAGAGATGGAGTTAAGAACGAGAAGAGGATGGAGTTTATTTGCCCTAAAAAAATGGAAGCTGAAATGATTTGCCCTAAAAAAAAATTTCCCTACGAGACAAATATATATATATATATAATTTTAAAAGGAGACAAATATATATATATATATATATATATATATATATATATATAAATTTATATTTTAAAATATAAAAGGGCATAATAGTAAATTTATTAAAATAATTCTCCTTCTTATCATTCCCTTTCTTTCCCCAAACATGATTATTATCATTCCCTTTCTTTTCCTTCATTAATCAACCAAACACAATACCAAATTAAAATTATCCTTCCCTTTCATTTCCTTCCCTTTTCCTCATAACTAATGTTATCCTTTTCCTTCAAACCCACCCTACCAAACATAGCCTTAGAGTACCATTCTTGTAGAATTTTTCTTTAAAAAAAATGATACTTAGAGTTAGAGCTATCTTTCTAGTCCGGAGGCAATGAAAAATGAATAAATGAGACATTCTTAAATATATATATATATTAGAAAAATGAACACGTGAGGAGAAACGCTTGTGAATATTTAAATTTTATTCGGCAAATAGAGTATATATATATATTCTACTTTTCCTTTCTAAAAATTGTTTTAGTAATATAACTTTAAACTAAAACAAATACTAAAAGTTACAGTAATGTTTTCTTTGATCATGTCAACATATTTGAAAAAAAAAAAAAGTACTAAAAAACACGATAAGACTTTTCAAGAAATTTGTATTAGTAGATAACTTTTCTAAAATACGTTTGAAAAAGGATAATAATAAAATTTCAAATATTCTTTAAAATAACTTTCTTTTAGTGTTTTCAATCTAACGGTAATAAAATTCAAAAGATTTTTTTTTTTCTTTAACTGGTTTGATTGTATGTTTTTTTTTCATTGAAAAGTTACATGTTAATATTTTCATAAACCACATGACATTTCAACAAGGCTTTGAATCTAACTACCTACGGCTTTTTAATCATCTCTGTATACCTCTTATGTTTTTTTCTTTCCAAAAATTCTTCTCTATACAAATTTTTTTTCGCAGTAAAAGAGTTGAATGAAATATTTTTTTATAGTTTTATGACGGTAGGTTTGTATAGTAGTAAAATTTAGAATAGTAGGCTCAATTGAATTTAGGAGTTTCTGAGAAAGAAAAAAAAAAATGACGGAAGTTCTGAAATGGAAAATGGTGACTTATATAGATGAGTTTGACCACAATCAATGAATGATGTTATGGTGAAATACAACAATGACGTTAAATAATTATACTCATACAAGGACTCTTACATATCACCGATACCTTGTGTCAACTCCGAATTAATGGTAGAAATTGCTCTAGGCGATGTCCTTGTGTGTGTTTAGATCTGGGTTTTCTAATAATAAACATATTCTGCAAATTTGTTTCTAGCATGTTTATTATATCATATTTTATTTCATAGGTGCTTTATTGTTTCTG